ACTGTCATGCGTGTCATGTTCAGGTCAATTTGAGATCAGGATCTCAGTGATGTTCTGAATTTTTCTTTTTAGGACTATGTGGGATTGGAAAAGGAGGTCCGGGATGCCATCTATATCACTATAGAGATCCTCTCCAACTGGGGAGATGTGTCCCGTGTGGGTCTGACAGAAGTGGAGTTCTTTGACTTGAATTTTGAGAGAGTGTTTGTGTCACCTCACGATGTGGACATTCGGCATGCAGATCCACCTGGAGAGCTGAGCTACTTAGTTAACCAAAGCACAAATGTAAGCCTCCGATTGTTGATTTTCAAGGAACAGCAGACATAATTTTGCACACGTTTATTTATTTAATTTCTATGGCCATTCATCTCAACCAAGTGAATCTGCCCCAGGGGTTCTTTATTTCTAAAACAGCTGGTGTTCAGGTTGGAGCTGTGCAAACGTGTTCCTGGGTTCTTGCACAGCTTTCCACCCCTTGGTGGGATGTTGGGTTCTGTTTCTTCTCAGGGCTGTGATGGCCATGGCTAATTTGGAACTAAAGCTGCTGGCTTTGCTAGCTGTTGCAAAGAACCAAACCTACTCCACGCACCTCGATCGAGTTCCAGGGCCTGTGGATTGCACAGCAGCTGTGAGCTCAGCAGTCAGTTTTAATAACAAGCATAAGAACTGCAGTAAATAGAGGAGGCAGAAACAACATATCTTCTCACTTAGAGTTGTAGTTGTATGATAAAAAGTATGATAAAATTTTGAACTGACATGTTCTACAGCGGTGAGACTAGGAACTTTTTTTAGACTTACTGATTCCTTCCTAAGAGAGAGGAGGTGATCAGATATGTCAGCCCTGCTAATTCTCATTGGTAGCCCCTTGGTATTCTAACTAGCACCAAAACGGATTAGGCTGAGCAGGTCAGCCTTGGAACTGGCCTCACACTTTCAAGCAGACTCTGCTTGCTCAAAGACAGAAGAAGCCAGAGGAAGCACACAGCTTTTCGTCTCGCTGGCATCTTTCAGGGCCCCCAGAGCCAGTGCTGTGCTTTGCTCCAGGGTGATGGGCCAACCATCAGCTTCCTTGTGTTATAGGTCCCCAGAGAGCTTCTCCCCTGGTCATGCCTCTTCCAGCCTCCAGTGCAGCTGTACTTCGTTGTCCGAAATACCAGCCTCTCAGGAGACTTTGGACTATCCAGAATCAGGATCTGGAATTACAGCCCAGCCGTTCATGGTGTAAGTGACTGCTCTGGCATCTGAGCTTTGGCTTTTCATACTTAGTAGAAGCTAACGTGTTCTAGAACAGGGGAAGGAGAAGGGAGGGGGGCAAGCAGCCACAACTGTGTTAACTGTTTTATTTGGCTTAATTCTAACATGAGGTTGAAATTATTCTATTTTGGAAGCAAGGCTGAAACGTTATGTTGCTGCTGGAAATGTTTGGCAATGGAATGTTTCTGTACAACGGGATCTGTTCACATGCCGCCCTCCTTCATGCTTGGCTCTTTTAGAAGCCTTCTCCTTCAGTTTGGGAACTCCAGCTGGCCCAAGAGCGACACTGATGACATGCTATGCCTATTTGTAGAGGGAGCAAGGTTATTTTAGGAACCACAGCCAAATCCCCTAGGAGACATTTCTGCTTCCCTGATTCTGATATATTTTGTAGAGAGAGCTGCTTTGTTTGCTTTGGCTCCAGGTAGTGAGGCAAATAGGATTTTCCGAACTGGATTAGAGAGAAGCAAATCCTGATCCTTTAGGACTTGTCCTCAGCTGTGCGCTTAGCAAGAGGTGTATATGTGTGTATACCCTTGTACCAAATAACCTACTCATGGAATTGTCATGTGATTTTCCAAGGTTTGTAAATAGCATTTGAATTAGAAGCACCCCATTTGACTTCTTCAGCTCAGTCTTGCACCTTTGTGGCTGATGACTGACCTTTCCAGATGTGTTGAGAAGAGACCCTATCTTTAGAGAGGTCTTTTCTTGGGCAGCAAGTGGGAAGCCCTATTCTGAGGAAACAGGGAAGGCCAATGGAACACCAAAAAAGGGAGGGAGGTCAGTTGCTCAACCCAGAATGAAATGCTTTGTGGGGGAAATCCAGGCGACTGTCCCCAAGCAGAGTTTAACATGCCATCCTAAACTATGTTCAACCCAAAATGGATTCTCCGTTCTGTCATATTAGGAGAAAAGGCTGTGCTAGTCAGATTGATTCTTACAGTGCAACCCCCAAAACATATCACCTTATTCCTGCTCAGAGTTATATGTGCTAGCCAGGGCAGAGCCAAAAGTGGATGGGTTCACCATTTTACTTTTTTCTGCCATTCTCCTTTTCTGAATGAAGAACTTGGAGGAGCAGCTTTGGGTGAGAACATGGGAAACAGAAGGTTGCCCCACTACCGAAGGTTATAAATGAGACATAACCATGTTGCATTCTTCCAGGACCAATCCCAAATTCAAAGCCAGGTGAGCACCTGAAGGAAGACCATCCATTTTTCAACCCAATTCCTCTGCATATTGTACATTTAATTCCTCAGATCTCAGCAGAGGCCTCTTCAGTTTTTTACCAATTAGAAACATGTACATTAGAATTTGGAGGTTTTCACGAAGGTTGGCTTTTGCTTGCCCATCTGAGCGTCTTTCTTTGTCTCATCAGGATCTGAATATTGGAGCGAGAAATATCATTGTATACGTTGATGGGTGTCTAATCTTTGCTGGGGAGCTGCAGAAGGGCTGTTTGGCTCATGATTCTAATGGCAACGGCTGCACCTCCATTGATCTCCCAACAAACCTTCCCCTTTCTCTAAATGGAAAAGTAGACAAGAATTGGTCTTCTGCAAATCTGAGAGAGGAGCTTGACAAGCTGCTGCCGTTCAGTTGGGAGAAGCCTTCCATAAAAGAAGACTGCCTTGAGGAAAAAGAGAGAACCAGTTATCCTGACCAATGGGAAAAGTCTCTCCAGCCCAACCCAAACATCGGCAGCCTTGTCTCATTGGAGGCCGCAAGGTGTGTCTCCCCTGAGGATGACAGTTCCCTGAGTGAGAAAACGGAAGAACGTTCTCAGTCAGCCAATTTTATTTCCCCTGGTATTCTGACCTCCCCTGAGGCAAAGGGGGAGATGCAAGTTAGCTCTGGGAAGCAAAAACTGCCTCCTTTGGGATTACAAGTCCATCTGCCTTTAGAGAGCATCAAGAGAGGCTGTCCCCATCTCTCTCCAACTGAGGAAGAGCAGCCCAACAAGGAGGCCCCCGAGGCAGACGAGAGACCCTCAGAGGAGACCCAGGGGTCCATCCCTGATCTGGGCCCCTGGAAACCACTGCTTTATCAACCCAGTGGTCCAACCAAGCTGCTTCCCCCTGACCAAGACCTTAAAGACAGAGAGAAGGAAGAATTCAGCCACCCCTTATCTACGGAGGAAGCTGCACTTGTCAAAGGTAAGAGCTGATGACCGCCAGTCAAATTCTCTCAGATCTTCTAGAGATTGTCTGGTTACCCAATTTTGAGCAGAATCTGATCTTCCCGTGTTCTTCAGTTCTTTGAATATTGTGTTGAGCTGAAGAATTCAGAAATGTTACTGGCTATTTGCTGCTTTCATTTTATTTCTACATTTTGTTTAAAAGGTGCCTCCCCTTCATCATCTGACACTAATTTCTCCCTTTCAGAGGAGCCCTTCCCAGCCAAGGGCAGCACGAGGCCCTCAAGAGCCAAGTGGGGCACTTCTCAGGAGCACATGCTGCAGGAATCTTGGAATTCGTTGTTGAAATTCAATCATTCGCATCGTGGTCGAATATCCAATATGGATTTCCAAGGTGACATTTTTGATGAGTTTCTCCATCAGCAGAAAATTAGCCGGCAAGAAGCTCAGAAGCTCAGAATAAAGGACCAGACACGGGGGCTGCTAGCACAGAAGAAGGACGACAACTGCTTAGACTTGGAGGATGAGAGCGAATTTAAAATCCCCATCTTACCTCATGGTCAGCACTTAAAACTTGATATCAGGTCAACCTGGGGAGACAGGCACTATGTTGGTCTGAATGGACTTGAGCTGTTTAGCTCAAAAGGTGAGCCCATCCAGATTGTAAAAATCACAGCCAGCCCACCCGATATCAACATCTTGGCTGCGTATGGCAAAGACCCCCGGATTGTAACTAATCTGCTGGATGGAGTGAACCGGACACAGGATGACATGCACCTCTGGCTGGCTCCCTTCACTCCAGGAAAGTCCCACTGTGTTTGCCTGGACTTTGCAAAGTCATGTGAAGTAGCCATGATTCGCATCTGGAATTACAACAAGTCTCGCATCCATTCTTTTCGGGGGGTGAAGGACCTCTCTATTCTCCTGGATGAATGCTGCATTTTCCAAGGAGAAATTGCCAAGGCTTCAGGGACACTCGCTGGAGGTAGGGGGCAGACTGTCTCTGATTTTAAACTTGCCTTTTCAAAGAGGGAGGGGCAATGGCTGGTAGATCTTGGCTCTGGTCATCCAACTAGCCAGCCTTTCTTCTTCCCTCTGTTAATTATACAAGAGAAGTAGATTTTTCATCAAAGCCAATAGTAAGCTGGGAGAACAACCTTACTCAGCCTTTCTGGTTTTGTTTGCCTGGTATTCCAGTGTTTTGCTTTTGTATTCACGGTTGCCTGGTGTAAGAATCTTGGATGCTCTGTGGCTTTGTCCACTCATACAGGAAGCCAGGGCCATCTGACGGGACCAGATATAAGACAAATAAGTCCAAATAAATGAAGTTGTAACAAGTTGGTAGAATCCAGCCAAAGCATATATTAGTCCTAGACCTGACAGGACCTCTGCAGAAGGCAAGTTCATTTAGAACTCTAACCTGGTGCAGACATCCTAACTTTTTCCTTATAGCCTTTTTCTCTTTATTGCAGACACAGGCTTCTGACTTCAATTAGCTGGATCAAGGCAATACCTTAATACAAATTTAAGATTTTCATTTGTGGATATTAACTCCTTCCTTACATAAACTTTACTGCCAGGAAGGGGAAGGGAGAGGGAGGAGCTGTTAATCTTGTGGATAGTGTCACCATAAAGTTCAAAATGTTTCAGGTCCAGAGCAATTTGGAGACACCATCCTGTTCACAACAGATGAGGACATTCTGGAGGCCATTTACTGTTACGATGAGTCCTGCGAGGAGGAAATTGAAAGTAGGAACAGCTTGGGCTATGAGGAGGAGCTGAAGAGGCCGAGAACAGCTGATGGAGAAGGAGATGAGAGGCCCTTCACTCAGGCGGGTTCCAGGACAGAAAACAAGCCGGTGAGAGTTCCAGCTGTGAAAGGGGGATTTCTCTGGGAATTAAGATGAGGGCACAACTACAGTGGCTTTAAGAGGGCTTTGAAAATGTCCTACTCTGGTGCTTAATTGAAACACTTTTCTGGAATTGACTGCTTGAGATGTTTGTATTTTATTCCAACTGTTTACATTTCTCAGGACTCTGAGAGGAGTCTGCTGTATTTCTCAGAATGTTTCTACTGCAATCAAAAGAAATTGATTGATTTTGTTCTGACTTGCCCCTTGATTATCCAAACTTTTTTAGAGTCAGGAGCAAATTGCAGGGTCAGATTCCCTCTCCGAGGTCGTGACAAGCAAAGAACCTGGAGTCTATTCTGGAAAATGTACGTCCTCTCTTCCCATCTTCATTGTCTTCTGAACGGGGGTGCTTGTGTGGATGGGTTCTTCACTCAATGTTCTGTTGATTTCTAGGCGCAGGGACCCTTTTAAAGAAAAGTTCAATATTTTAACGAAAGAAGAATCATTGACTAATGGTTATAATAGCTATATATACTCTCACACCAGAGGGAGGATGTTCCACAGGATGGGTGCCCATCTCCTGGGTCTCCCCAAGCATTATTCCTTAGCAGATGGGACCCAGGGCGTGCCTCTTCTGCCAGAACTGATGGGGCTGGCGGAAGTAATTGGGAAGAGGCGCTCCCTCAAGTAACTCAGTCCTATGCCACAAATGGCTTTAAAGGTCCAAAGCAGCACCTTGAATTGGAACCGACAACCAGTGTAGCTTGCGGAGCAAACGAAGAATAACGTGTGCTCTTTCTCTCAGACAGAGGCTGGGCCAAGTGTGGTGGTTTTTTGGGGAGGTCTTGTTCCATGCCAAAAACTGTAGAGCCCCAAGGCCTAGTATGACATCGGCACCCTGGAGTGCTCTTCCCTCTGAAACCTGTGACTTTTGCACCTATGATTGCAGATTTTAGTGCCCTCTGAGAGACTCTCCTGTTTACTTAGCCCTTCTCTGAATGAATGCTGCAGGACTGAAAATATTAGATTTTCCTATTTTGAATGTTTTTGTTAATTGCTAACTGTTCGGAGATTTTTAATCACAAATATGGCACACAAATGTATGCCTCTAGTAGCTCAGCCCTGCTTTTCTCTGGTACTGGATTCCTCCTGATTATTATTATGGTTGGTTGCAGTCAGCCAGATGTTTAGACTGGATTTGGCATTTTTGTCCATCTATTAAGTCCTTCCAAGGACCTGGGATAGGCAGATGTTGTTCAATGGTATTAAAGGTTTCGTCATAGGATGTTCCAAGCACAGCTGCCTATTGCAATTGACTGATGGTGACTTTATCAAGGCCGATGGCATTCACGTGGTGCTCCAGGTGGTTTGGAATTGCACCCAAGGTGCCTAGCACTATTGGTACTACCTTTATAATTATTATTATTAATATTGTTTTAAATTTATTATAGTTGCCCACTCTCATAGACTCTGGTTGGCTTACAGTTAAAAATATAGAACCCCAAGGTGACCATTTCTTTATAACTAGGATCCATTTCATTGGAGAGGAGTGGAGTGACTGTCTAGTTCCTTTTTGTGCTACAGTTTGTTCTTGTGGTAAGATTAATGTCTACTCGGAAGCTGATCCTCTGCTTCCTCTATCTCCTTTCAGGCCTGCTGCTGAATTTTACTGCTTCTTGGGGAGATTCACATTACCTTGGACTGACAGGGCTTGAAGTGGTTGGAAAGGATGGCCAAGCAATCCCATTCTCTGTGGATCAGCTCTCTGCTTCCCCTCAGGATCTCAATGATCTTGTGGAGTATGTGGATGATTCAAGGACCTTAGATAAGTGAGCATCATTCAAGAGACGGGAAGCTTATGCATAAGGCAGATGTAGGCTGCTACTGATAGTATTTCAGGATGATGTTGTCTATTGTGGTTCTCCAGAAAATCTCCAGCTCCCAGGAACCTTGATATTGAAAACTAGTGGAGATTTCCTGACCATGGCATAGGAAGGGTGGTACATCCCCTCCAGGCAGGAAGGAGAGTCCCAGGGCCCAGGGTTTTGCAGTCAGCTAAAAAGTAATCACAACGGAAGAGAGGTTGAAATGCTATTAATTGCAAAGCAAGTGGCCTGGCATATACATTTCTGCAATAAGTGTGTACGTATCCAAATTCCCTCCCCAGCCAGTTCCTGTGCTTCCTCCTAGATTGATTGATGGAAAAAACATCACTATGGAAGATACCCACATGTGGCTCATTCCCTTTTGCCCTGGAGAAGATCACCTGGTAACCATCCATTTCACCCAAGTAGAAAACATCGCAGGGCTTCGCATCTGGAACTATAACAAATCTCCTGAGGACACCTTTCGAGGGGTAAGGCCCAGTGCAGAACTCTCCAGGAAATGCCAGGCAGACAAAGGCAGGAGCCAGATCCCCCGGCAGAAGGTTCTGTCCTTCCGTGCCGTTCCCCCCTCTTTGCTCTGCTCAACCTTTGGGTAGCATGCTGGGAGGAAAAGTGGTGGGTGAGAGAGCTCGCTTTTACTAGTCTTGATAGCAGGTGGCTCCAGTTCTTCAGTGGATACCATTTCCTGGTTTTCTACTTTTCCCCAGGCAAAGATGGTCCATGTGTGGTTGGATGGCTGCTGCATCTCCCCCCCTGGGGGCTTTCTTATTCGAAAAGGACCAGGCAACTGCCACTTTGACTTTGCTCAAGATATCCTCTTCATCAACTACCTTGTGGGCCCCACAGTTGCTCCTGCACATGAGCGGTGAGTCTGGGCAACCGATTGTTCCACTGGATGACAACTGTCATTTCAAAATGGCTTTTGTAGCTAGTAATGATGGCATCTCACAGTACTGTGACAGTCTCCATCCTCACTGGACAGGAGCGAAGTGAAGAAGAGGGAGCAAGGCAGCATGGAGTACGAAGCACCACTAATGCCATGTGGGTGTATCCTTCTATGTGGAGTTGGCTTTGGCCTTCGGTTGTACTTCTGGGCTGGAGGATGCTGGCGGCTCGGGGCTCTCTGCAGGCTGCCCTCCTAAAAGAGGTGCCCTATTTGATTCCCAGCTTCCCTGGGTGCCCATTAGTGCCCACCTGCTTCTCCTTGCCAGACCCCTCACTGCAGACATCACAGCCCTTGTTTTCCACAAGGCTGGCTTTTAGGGTTTTCCCACCTGCTGCAGATACCCAAGGAATAAAAGTCGGCTGGAAGTATTTTCAAAGACATATTTTCTCAATAACCTCTATCAGTCATCTTCCAGCTCCAGCTACTCACAAGTTGGGGAGATCCATATTACATCGGTTTGAACGGGCTGGACCTGTATAATGAACACGGGGAGAAGATTCTTTTAAATCAGAACAGTATCCTTTCTGCCATGTAGACAGGACCATTTCTGAGGGTGCCTCCCTCCCCTGGAGCTCACAGCCAAGCCAGAGAAAGCTGGCCAGAGCAGGGCCCCTGCAGGCCCAGGGGAGCATGGTCTTCCTGCCTGCTGCCAGCTGCTCCTGCCATGATTCTTTTATGGTGCAGCTGGAGTTTTCTCCTTCTCTGCCTTCAAAGGCTTCTCTTCAGATTGAAGGAGACCCAAGCAGGACCCCCAGCTTGTTTGCTCCTGCAGATGTCTCAGAAGCTGTGGGGCTTTGCAGCACAACGGGGCTGGGAGGCCATCTAGGCCAGATGCTCTCCTTGATGAATGCCCTTTTTCAGACATTGCAGCTTTTCCAGACAGCGTCAATATCCTGGAGGGAGTATATGGAGATATTCGAACACCAGACAAACTCATTGATGGTGTAAATCACAGCAGTGATGGAAGGCACATGTGGCTCACACCAATTCTGCCAGGGCTGGTATGCTTCCCTCTTGCATGCTGTCATGTGCACTGACTGACACTCTGTCTGAAAGACCAGGTGAACAGCTGCCCCAACAGCTGATGGATGAGCCTCTAATTGCCTTATTTGGATGCTTCCTCTGGGTTTTGTGGAAGAAGCATTTCAGGGCTTGAAAAATTACTATATCCTCTTTTGGGGTTGTCTTTAAGGGAAAAAGAGATTGGTTACATAGTCAGCCAGATGTTTAGACTGGATTTGGCATTTTTGTCCATCTATTGAGTCCTTCCTAAGGACCTGTGATTGGCAGATGTTCTTTGATGGTGTTAAAGGTGTCAGCTCAGGATGTCAGCTGTTCCAACTCAAGCTGCCTTTTGCAATTTTGTCATTGCCACAATGGTATTCAAGTGGTGCTTCAGATGTTCTGGGATTGGACCCTATCACTATCTTTGTTTTCTTTTGCTACAGATGTTTTACTTCTATTTGTGGGCATTTATACTTTGTAATTTTCTCCAGCTCTTTTTCTTCTATTCTACTGTTTCCAGGTATTGCAATGTCCACTGTTATTGTCTTGGTACGTACGTACGTACGTACGTATGTATGTATGAATGTATGGTTTCTTCCTCTGAGTAAAGAAGTTTGCTCTCGCCCCCACACTTGGTTTGTTTACTTGTTATGTGATGTCCTGGGCAGCAGCATTTTTCCTTTTTCTTTCACTAACGGGAGGAAGAAGAGCATTGATCCACATCCAGTTTCACAGCCCAGAGTAACTTTAATCTGTTAATCAGATTTAGTTTCAAACATGTACAAAACAGTTCTGATTGGAGTTAAGATAGTCCTCACTGAGATTTCTCTTAGTGAAAGAATTTCTTCTCTGCTTCATTCCTGGTGGTAGGTGAATCGAGTTTACATTATCTTTGACTTGCCAACTACCATTTCCATGATCAAGCTATGGAATTATGCAAAAACTCCCCAGAGAGGAGTCAAGGAATTTGGAGTAAGTACCTGTTTACAAACTATCTCATCCTGAATCTCTAATTCAGCATTCGTGCAGAGAGAGAGAAGACTCATGAAGCAGCAGGGTTTAAAATGGGGGCTGGAAGTTTGGGGGGGGGGCAGAAGGCAGATGTATCCATCTTTCTCTCCCTTTGGGTACAAGCCTCCTGCCTGGGTTGGGGACTAAGTGCACCTCTGGCCTCTTGCAGAAGGTGCAAAATCATTTCTATGTGATTATCAGATCCTCCAACTTTTTACCCCCTCTTTTTGGGACTCAGCTCCTTGTGGATGATTTGCTGGTATACAACGGCATTCTCGATATGGTGAGCCATCTGGTCCCTGGCATTCTTCCTACTTGTGACCCTGTCGTTCCCCATCACACTTTCCTCTTTACAGAGGACGAGAAGATCTGCTGGCAGGAGAGGAGCACCATGGTTAGGTGTGTGGGTACATTTGTAACTCTTTCTCTAGGGAGCAGGTGATAATTTTCCTCTGATCATTTTCAACTTACTTTTAATCCTGAGTAATATTAAACATCAGTAACAAAAAAAATTCTGCCTATGTTTTATCTAATGTTGGTTAGATAAAAGCAAACAATAAGTAAGTATCTAATTAGACAAGCATGATCTGATGTGAGCTTCCGTAAGAGCGAGCCTTTCTGTGCTAGATAATTCTTTGATACAAGAATGTTCCTGTGCCAAACCCATCTGCTCTTTCAGCTCCATGTTCGTTTTGCTGATTGGCACTGAGGACCTGGCTGCAGAGATGCGGGTGCCCCTAGGGGGGACAGGAGAGGAGCCACAGCGGTACACAACCCCCATCAAATCAGGGTCATTGTTTGAGAATGGAATAAGTAGGGAGGGTATGATTTGCAGATAGTTCCACTCCAAAAATGACCTTCCTTGAATGTTCAGGAAATCCACTGACCTTTTTGATCGTTTTGGCTCAACAGCAACCAGATAGAGGACCAGGATGTACGACTGACGAATGAGAGCCAGCTTATATCCTCTTCCAGAAAGAAGCAAAAGGGAGCTGCTGATCCAGGTTGGTCCACCTTGGTTAGCAGGGATGGTAAAGAGTGCTAGTCTGGTTGCCTTTGCTGTGATGGCTGGAGGTTTCTTCAAACGGGTAAAGCTGAGGGCAGTCTTCTCTTCTCTCCCACCAGCTCTTCGTCCTAAAACCTGCATTCAGGATAAAGGACCATTGCGGAGAACAAGACAGTGAGCAAAGAACAGGGTGGCCAACCTCCTATGGCCCATTTATTGCCCAGGAAGAGGCGGCAGCCTGCACCACTGGCACCCAGTTCCCGACTGGAATCATGAGAGGGAACTCTGGGTGGGACTGAGCTGGCTGTTAGTGCTGCTGAGACCACCGGAAGCACTTTTGTCACCTGTAGGCTGATTATAGTTCTCCTTGCTTCTCCTCACAAGAGGCTTTGGCTGAACTCGAGCAGGCTTGGATGTGTGCTGTGGAAAGAGGATATGCACCAGCCCAGGCTGGTTCACAAGGGGAGCTTTCTGTAACTTCCACAGGAAGCCTTGGGGGGGGGGTCCCTTTGCTTACTGGGGGGAGAAGGGATGGGGGGAGAAAAAGGCCAAAACGGGTGCCTCGAGGACAAAGGAGCACACAGCTCCCTTTTCCCCTTGTGCGTGCGCATCACTGACATGCACATCATGTATTTTCCCTGCAATTTCAGAAAGTATCTGAGCCACTGTAGAAATTAAACAGCATCAAAGCCTGGAGGGGTGCCACCTTCCGCGGCCAGCCGAAGGACTTCCTGCGCAATAGCTACAGTGGCTGAAAGTGGCTGAGGGCTGGAGTTGTAGCCGAGTGTGGCTAGGAGAAAGAGCACTGCAACTCTATGGCCAGGTGCTCAACTGCACTGGGCTGCCACCTGCTTCTAAGGTGGAAGGAGCAGAGAGGCTTGGTACTTTTCTTTGCAATTCTCACAGGGTTGCCTTCTATCCTTGGAGGCATCTCCCAAAACTGAGCTGAAAGGCAGAAAGTGCCCTGAGCCTCCTTGAACAGCAAGTGCCTTATTTAAAATGTTCCCAATTGCAGCATATTGACTGCTGGCAAGTACCAGATTCTCACGGTTGTAGTGCTATTATTTACTGTTTGTCATACAGTACACACAAACCCAGCTTATTTTTTTCTATCATTAGCCTATTAATCACATTGTGCCCCCTTGGCTAGAGCAATGGATGCCTGGGGAGATTGCCATCTGACTTTGGAAGAAGATGCAAGCCTGCCAGTCAAATAGCCGCAGAAGCTGTGAAGCTGACCTTTGTGCTTGCTGGCACCATCAGTGTGACCCATTTCTGGCCTTTCTGTAGCCTGAGCACAGGGTTCAAAAGCTGCTCCTGCAAAGAATGAGGATCCGTGCCTTATTGTTTCAACTGAGTTGGCCCGGCCCAGCCCTTACTTGGCAACTTTTGTAACTTGGCTTTGGCAGAGCAGTTGCTCAGCCTTCACAAGCATTGCCTAAATGCCCAGAGAGAAGTACCAGGGCAGGGCTTAATCCCCCCCCCCCCAAAAAAAAGATCTGGACCTGTTTTGAAGGACCACAGGCTTATTTTTCCTACATAAATATTTCTTTGGCAGACAACTTGCCTCTGCTTGCAACAGAGATGTTGTCTTGTACACAGTGTATGTCAACTGGCCTTTTCTATATTAGGAGCAACTCTGGTTTCAGGTTAGGCTCCGAATGAGGTTGCTGGAGATGGAGAAGTTAAACCTCGGCTTTTGTTGATGTGCCTTTCCCCAACATCACATAGATCATTCTTGGTCTCTAAATGCTGTTGAAGTAGACTGAGAATGGGAAGAGATGATGAGTGGTTTTTTTTACTAATAGGGCTTAAAGTAATTTTGATAGCCTAACAAGGATTATTATTTTCCCATGTGTTCAACAATAGCAGTACTAAAATTTCTCAGCTGAAACAAAGAATCATGGTTGAGAACAGGATTGGAGAGATCCAGTTTTGTAACAAGATTGATTGCTTCATGAAGAATAAATTCCTGGCTTTGAAACACAATTTAGCCTTATGATTTCTACTGCAGTCACCTGACAGCAAACATTGGGTTGTGTATGTTTGCTCTCCAGATCTGGTGTATGAACAAACAAGTGATCCTGCATATCCAATACAGAAAAGAGTTTAATAGAGAATTGATTACATTGCCTAAGTAACAAGGAAAGGTTTCTATTGTTCATCCCCAATCATCTTGCATTTCACCTTTGCTGTCAGATGTCAGCCAGGCCTATTCTCAGGGCTATTTACAGCTCCAACATCTGGCAACCACTCTCACCTCCCCCCTTCCAGCAGTCGGTCAGTTAACCCCTGACACTTCTGGGCCACCCAAGCAAAGGAATGGCTTGAGAGGAGTCATGGCCATGCCAAAGAATTGATTTTAAAAGCTAGCTCAATTGGTCAGGAGCCTTCCCTTGGAAAGCCTGGCTCAAGGGAAGCCGAACAGCACATAAGCCCTGGTGCGTTCATTCAGCAGTCCTGACCCAGCACATTTGAGCCCCATGTATCCTGCAAACCAGCTAAGGATTAGCTGATGAATTATATCGTGTTTACCCAAGATATTGGCCTGAGTACACCACAGTCTAATTTCACTGTATGTAGGCGCATGGTTTAAGCAGAGACATTTCAAGGCAATGAGGGGGCTTCAAGTTTCATTGCTTATCTCTTGCTCTTCCCCTAAATATTTCAGCACGAAGCAACAATGACAAAGGATCCATTTCTGTGCACAGTGAGGGCAGACAAGGGTGTTGCACAGCCCAGACTTAGATAAAGGCAGAGGAGGTGCATCACCTATTTCCCAGGACAAAATGCATCTGCCATGGCCTATTGCCAAGATAAGAACAGCCCAAGAAAACTCCTAAAACTAGCAGCCATCAGTCACAACATGTTCCTCTCCGAATTAAGATGATCTGGTGTATCTTGGTTCTGAGAACTAAGAGCGTAGATACGCAAACCTTGCTGCTATGTGGATCAGCAGCACAGAAGAGGCAGCAGCAGTGAAGAACCAACATACAAATTCTCCAGTGCTCAGGAGCTTCTCTCAGAGGTCAGTAGTCCCGTGGCCTCTTCTAGAGGTATTGTTTCTATAAAATGGGAACAGTACCCCACTGGCACCATTGTGATCCCTGCATACTACAGAACTAGCAGATGCTCTGTAGGAAATGCAAGGTATGGAGAAAAAGGCAAAACTGTTATTCCTGCCAGGATTTACTAGGGAGAAAACCAGAAAGTCCCAGATGACAGGCAAGGAGGAAACTGCCTGCTATGGAAGTCAAAAGCAAAGACTTTGATCAAAATCAAGAGATTATAATCAGCAAAAGAGGATGCAGACATGATCCACTCAACAGGTACTCACTTCCTTGATTTGACTGAATCTAGCTTCAGTTAAGTGCCAAGAATTTGAATAAAACTCCACTTTCAGCAAAGCAAGGCAGAGCTCCTTCTCCCATCCCTCTTCCACATCAGGCCCCGACGTCTCCTTAAGCCTCTTCACAGTAGAGCCCAAGCTGAGGAGTTTCTTCACAAAAAGGCCCCAGAGCTCAGGACCTTGGCTGCTGCTCTTGCCATCCCACAGATCCCTCCTACCCTTCAGGAATTTGCTGCTTGTTAGCCCATCAGTGCACTTCTATCAGCCTGCGATTTCCACCTATATTGTCAAGTTCTCTCATCTTAGAATATTCCAATACAGGACACTGTGCACCGTACTGGAGCAGTACTAGTTACATATGCATTTAATAAAGCATTTACCCAAAACTACCATGATGGACCCACAATCTGTCCTCTTTTCAGAATTTTTGTTGCTGTTTTGCTGTTTGAAATGCTCAACAGTTACTCCATTTTTCCCAAGGAACTCTTCTTTCCATCTAGTTATCTGTGGATAGTGGTAAAATGAACATCTTTTAGAATAAAAACTGTTTGTGGAACCCTATTTAACCTCTCTTCTGGACCATTCTGACAGGGAAAGGACTGGAAAATCCCACTAACCTTAGTTGAAGCAGTTGTTTGGTCACAGCAAGAAACACTTTCTGGGATCCAAGATGGCTTAGGCCAGCCAGCTACCCTGTTTGCCTTGGGGAACCCATGGATGAAAGCTTCAAGCGCAGGCCGTGCTGAATTTACTTTTCATGTTACTTTGCTGACTGAACACTACAGATCTTAGCACCATAAAATGGACAAGCTCTTTCCCTCTCCAAGACCATCGGTGTCTGGAACTGAAGTAAGTAAAATAAAGACTTGGAACTTTCTGTACTTTTGATAGGAAAGAGCTACGCTTAGCAGCAATCTAGGCAGTGCTACTGCTCTTCTCTGAAAAAGTTGGATGTAACTCTGCCGGTCCCTTCTGACAGGAAACCCAAGGCAATCAACAATCTACTCCATACTAAGAGCAGAACCCAGGAAGAAATCAAAGTACTGTAGCTGGTTTAGCACTGCTGGTTATTTTTGATCCTTAAGCAAAATGCCACCAGTTAAAAAAGTACTTTCTAGCAACGGTCTGCCTGCTGAGGCTTGTGGCATTAAGCGCAATCCACTTAGCATATGGAAAACAACAGTTCAAACAGAAACTAGAATTCAAAGGGTGACCTCAGATTATTCATTTATAGGAAATATAAATAGACACCGACTTTTCTGGAAGCTCAACTGGAAGGGAGGCAAGAAGATGGATCCAAATGAGTGCACCCTACTCCTACAACCTATCACATATATTGTTGGCAATTCCCAATTCTGATGTTTAGCAGTGTAGCCACTGTACACTAGACAAAAAAAAAAGGATGCTTTTGTAATTGCGCTTTGCGAAGCACAGCCGTTTTCCTTCCTGAAAAGCGTGGAGGACAGCCTGCATTGCTGCACCTTCAGCCCATGCTGAAAAAGGAGCTTGCACATTGTAGTGGTTTGGCACAGCTGTAGTGGTACATTGAAAGAAAGAATGGGGTACAGAAAAGCTCCTTTGGGGCTACAAATTCTAGGGATGCATTCAATAATTGGCGGGAGGGGGACTTATACTCTAGTTTTAACAGTCATCTGACCGACAAAAAGAGGGAACATTGTCATCTTTAGGCTTCATGAATTCTGGTGGTGAAAAAGTACCAAAGGAGAGTTCTATGATACATTAAAACTTTACACTTTTAACGTTGTCCAAGTTTGTCTAACCCTTAAAGCATTTTGATTTTCAGGTTTTCTGAGCTTGGAAGAAAGTAGATGTCCCTATTCATTTTTGCATATTAATATTACAAATTTATGATTGGATTTCTTTTCTTTAGATGCGCCAATATTTCACTAGAGTATACTAGAATCAAAACATCGTGCCAAATAAAAGAGTGTATCATTTCCTCAGCAAAAGGCTACATGGCTGAGGGCTTATCTTATTCCCCCTTGTTTTGACATCTTGTGACACACAAAGAGCAAGATGTCTATGGAGATTCTCAGTCATCCAGGTCACAGTTATCCTAAAGGTGATTTTTTACGAGGCAATTGGATTTCCTTGTTTTTCTTTGATGACGCTTTGCTTCTCATCAAAGAAGCTTCTTCAGCTCATGAAACTTCTTGGATGAGAAGCGAAACGTCTTCAAAGCAAAACAAGAAAGTCCAGTTGCCTTGTGAAAAAGCATCTTTGGGACAAAGAACAAGAGCCATGACTCAAATACTGCATGAATTAATCCAGATCCCATTGGATGTATCATCATTTTCTTTGGGGCCAATTCTGCTAAGGGACAGTCTGGCTCCTGCATGTAGACAAGCAAGCTGACATGGGATTATGCCAGCAGGGCCCCCAAAGCAAAAAATAAAGTGGGGTAGGCCCAAGTCATTACCTGCCCCCTATATTGGCAATGGTAAAATGAGGAACCAGCAGAGCCAAGATTGGTGGCACCAGCACATCCAACCGACTGGGCAAAGACGGGCTGTACACTACCCGCACCCTTCTGATCTGCTGGGAAATGGCAAGTGCAGTGTTTCAGAAAGCACAATGGCACTTTAATCTGATTTTGGCAAACAGCAAGCTCAACAGCTGCTTCTTTAGTAAGTGCTGAACTCCAAATGAAATCTTCTTGTTCCTCCCTGTTCCAAGATGACCATTCCTTCTGGCCCCCGGTATCTCCCTTGACCAGCTCTTAGTGTCGATCACAGAAGGTAGACAAACATGCAATTATCTGTGTTTACATATAAAATGTGAGCGCTAATGACACTCACACACCTACTTATTCACTCTGCTTGGAGGTGCAAAGGAAGATGTTGATGAGAAATAAAAATGAAGTAACCACAGCTTGTCCTTTGAACGTGTTCCGATCCCCAATCTATACTGCTCCTCCTCCGTGCAGAGAGGAGCCCAGCAGTCTCTCCGAAGGCACTTGATGTCTCCTCTCAGGGGAAAAAACAAACATTTCAAGGGGGGTGAAAAGGGCCAGAGCCTGGCATGGCTATGATTCTCTCCAATTCAGGTGCCCAAAGGAAGAGGGGTAACAACTGAGCCAGGCTGTGCCGCTTCCTGTCATCCCCTCTGTGCAAGAGAAAAGGCCGGTTGGAGAGAGCTCAGATTTCTCACAGAGAAGAATCGATGGGCATCACACACTCCGGGAGCTGTTCAGTTTGGTTAGTTCGTTGGCTTCCTCCGGCCTGGCCTCCTCACAGTCACCCTTCTCACCAGCTGCACCGAACTGAGGGCGACTGTCTAATTTAACCAATTCTTTGGGAAACTTCTTGAAGCGGGGAAGCAAATCTTTGAGCTCCAGGTCGGGGGGCATCTTATCCAAGTTCTGTACAGAAGGCACCAAGTTGGTGATCTCATCAGTTGGAGATCGCCCGATGCTGCCATCTACTTGAACCCGAATGTCCGGAGAGATAGACAACTGATGGTGGGGTACCACCCCACTGTCCATGCATTTGGGATAGAGGAAAGTCTTCATTTGGCCTTTGCCCTTCACGTTGACTGTCCCACGGTAATCAAAGTCATAGCCCATTTTGTGAAGAATGCGGTAACTCTCCTCGCTCACCTGGATCCGGCACTCGACTCCTGTAGTGTCCATCCTGCTTGCTATGTTCACAGTGTCCCCCCAGATGTCGTACAAGAGCTTGGTGGTGCCAATGACACCAGCTGTTAGGGGGCCATGGTTAAAGCCAATCCTCAGCTTAAAATTGAACCACAGCATGTTGTTGTTAAAGTCATCAACCACTCGCATCATTTCTTTGGCAAATTCAAAAAGCGTCTGCAGATGGGCATGGGGGTTACTGCTGTCCTGGCACTGGGAAGCATTCAGCCCAGAAGCAGCCATGTAGGTGGCCCCAATGGTTTTTATTTTCTCAATGCTGCTGTAATTAGGCTTGCTCAACAGCTCATCAAAATCCCCAATCAGTTCATTCAGGACACGGTAACATTCCTTGCCTCCTTCGTAATTCTCCTCATAGAACTCGCTGAAGTTCACAATGCTGGCGAAGATCACCCCCCCACTGTCGTGGTTTTTGGAATAACTTTGGGACACTTTCAGCTGCTCGGCCACATGGTAGGGAATGATGTTCCGCAGGAGCCAGTCCGCCTGGTCCCTCATGCTTTGAATCTTGGTACGGTGAAGGTCAGCTTCCACATCTCCATGATAATGGAGACGGTAACTCACCTCAAACTCCCGATTTAAGAACCAAACTAAGACAAGGAGAAGGAAGAGGCCCAAAACTACTTCCAGGCCAATCAGATCTGCCGGCCTACTGAAGTCTTCCGACGCAGACCTGTTGCAGGCGTTCTCTATGAAGCTGGGGGTGGGGAAGGAACAAAACAAAAAATTGAATGCGTACTTTAAATGTAACTTCAGATCATCCTGCATGGGATCTCAAACAGGTGCTGTTGATCATTATGATCACCTAGTTTTTACATGAACATGTATCAACATTTAAAGGCTCAGTGTGTTGGCACAGAGGATACATGTGAAGTTGGGGTGTGCTGAAATGTGGCCTTTGCTCTGGGCAAGTGGCCTATGGGCAGAGGACGGGCAGCCCGATGTAACATTTTTTCCCCAAGTCAAATTCCAAAGAGAATTTCCTTAAATCAAATGATGTACACATTGTAAGAACATCTAATTTTGATACGTATCTTGATACAAATAGAAACTGTCCAACAGCTCAAATCATTACAGCTTCTCTCTTAGCAGTTAACAGAAGAGACACATCTGGCCACACAACAGTGCAAGTGAGAGACTTCTCAGTATGTAGGCATGACACCTTAACAGCACCTGGCTTTATAATGTTAACTGCTCTATAAAAATATTATGCTTGGAAATAATCCATCTCACTGTTTCAGAACTCAGCTGCACTCTGAGATTCACAGAAAGGAAATCAGTGGTTCACAGTCCAAATTTCAGCCTCTTCAAAATCTTTTTCATTTTGGCCACAACTTCTATTCCGACTCTCAGCTGGCGAATAGAGCACTTTGGATCTTTAGAGAATGTAAGCCAAAGGCTGGAGCCTGAGACACAATCAAGCCCAATAGATTTTTAAAACATACCTTAAATTCCTCGGTGAAACGAGATTTGACTCCTCCAAGAAGCTGCAATAGAAACATAACAGTCTCACATTACCAGCAAGCCAAGTCTGGACCAAAACAAGGGCAACTACATTGCACCTACCGCAGTCACAAATTAGGACTTCTTCTCTCACTAATTTGCTAATCCCTGTGATGCATGCACACACTAGTCCCCTTCATACTTTTTCCTTCATTGCTTAGCCACACTCCTAGGCAAAACTGGCAAAAATTGTGGCACTTCCATTGAAGCAAGCAGGCTTCATTCCAGCAGCCTGGGACCTTTCCTAGATACGGCAGCCTGATCTTCGTCAGAATTGTGATGGATTTGCTGTGGCTCACCTGTCGGAACACCAGGGCAGGTGCAGGAGGAGGAGGAGGACCCCTCCCACAAGGGTAGCCAAAGAGGATCTCAACCAGGAGCTGAGCTGGCAAAAGTTACAGTACTGGACTATTGTGATGAGAACTGCAGAACACATAAACATGGTGGACTGCAACAAAAGAAACACCAGTCAGAACAATGGAGCAAATCAGAGCAAAGAAGTTGCACCTTTCCTCAAAAAATCCCAAAGTTAAAATAAGTGACGAGCTTAGAGCAGCCATGCTTAGGAATTCTGGGAGCTGAAGTCCACAAGTCATAAAAGAGCCAAGGTTCCCTACCGCTGGCCTAATACAAGCCCTACCTCAAAAATAAGCACTAGTTTTGGGGTGAGGCACATGCCTAAAAATCAAGCTAGGGCAGGGACGGGGTTTACCATTGCAGCCAGGCCTCCCATGGATTGACGCTGGCCTCGCCAGCCCATTTCTTCTGCAGCTGAAGGAGCAGCTTCATTCTGCAGCTGAGAATGGAGCTCGGGCCTGCATTTCACCATCAGAGGCCCTTCCGAAAGGCCTGTGCAGCCGAGAACCGAGCTACAGGATCTGGCTGGGCGGGATTGTCAGTGTCACCACAGCACGTTGAGTGGAAAAGACCCACCCCCCCCCGAAAATAAGACCTGGTACCTCTTTTGAAGGCAAAAAATAATAATAAGACCGAGTCTTTAGTTTGGGGAAACACGGTAGATAGAAGAAGTCCAGGGAATTGCAGTAGACCAAATTTGGGCTTGGGTGGTAGATAAACTGCAATCTGTGGCACCCACTCCCTCCTGCTCTTGGCTCCCGGCACTGGCAGCAAAGCTCTGACTGAGAAGTGGAGCCCTTTAGGACTATGCTAGTTGACTAGGATGGGCAAAGCGAGCCACTGCCCTTCCGGCTACCCATTTCCACTCCTGGAAAAGAAGTTTCTGCGTGTGATTTGGCACTTTGACCCAAAGCTTCCAATGACCGAAAGTAGGGTAAAAGACCCCTCCCTCATGCTTTTCACTCAGAAGTTCTGCTTGCCCACCAAGAGCTGGGATTGAGGCCAACTTACATAGAGGTTAGTTCCAAACTCAGAGGTGAAGTGTGAGAAGACCGCAAGAGCAGGCAGGGAGATCAAAACGGCCCCGATGAAGTGTCTGGGCAGCCACCCGGCAATCACTTCCAAGAGTCGCTTAGTGCAGACCATCATATCCTCCAGAAAAAAAGCCATCCTGAAAACCGCAGACACGGCCGCTGAGCTTTCCCTGCCCTCAATCTCAGGAGAACACCTCTCTTCCACAAGTGCCCATCAGTGACATCAGAACTTCCCCCTCTTCCAAAATCAGGACAGCCCTCCCGGGCATGAAAGAGAAGTAGCGACACTGGAAGGGATCCCAAGGGAGGGTCCTGGGCATCCACAGCCAGCTCCAGCTTTTCTACAAGGGCAGGGGTCTGCTGGGATCTCTTTCTAATGCACGGGGGGAGGGGGCATTTGCTGTCACCCATACCCAACAAGGGAGCCCTGATATTGAGGAAGGACAAGCGCAGCATTTGGCTCACCTGATTGAGATGGTAAGAGAGACCACCTCAAGTAGGACAGCCACTACTGCCACAGCCACGGCTGCAGGAGGGAGAGGAGAGGCCACCACCCCGTATTTCAGGAAGCAAGCGATGGAGAGGATGAGGAAGACAGTGGTGGAGAGGCACACGTCCAAGAGGGAACTGAAGGTAGCACTGGCGAAGGTCTTCACAGGAACTCTTCTAACCACCTGTGGAGAGCGAGGTCGAAGTTACCTGGCCACACATGGGCTTCTTCAGAACCCAATGCCAAGCAGGGAAATCAAAAGTCACCCAACTCTATACTTTTCAGTTTGATTTCAGAATCTGATCCAGAGATGACCTCCACTCTTTACAAAGGTTCTCTGCAGCACTCTACTTTAAGAAAAAGATTACTAAAACACAGCAACAGTTTTCAGAATCAGTTCTCTAAAAGGCTACCAGAAAGAAAACAATCAGCAAAAATGAGTACAACAAACCAAATTTAATTTCTTAGAGGAAATTATTCTCAAAACCGCTTTAGGAGAAACCAGACCCTCATAACTTCTGTGAAAGAAGATTATTATAAAAGTCACGGATTGTTACTTAGGATAGCTGAGGGACATTTCTGTTATAAGCAGACCTTCCATCTATCTTTTAACTATCTTTGTATGCAAATAATGCACATTTGCCCACTCTGTATGGAATGATAGGTCTTTTTAGTGCATATAGACATGCAAAGGAAGAACTGATACAGGACTAAAGTTTAAAGCAGTCAAAACAAGGGCTGTTTCCAGGACAATGGTCTGTAAAATAAATTATCAATAAAAAACATTCTTCGGGAAGTTTGCAAATCTGAACCCAAATTTATATGTGAACTCTTCCATTTGCACACAAGAGACCCTGAGTTAGTAGCAACACTAGCTATTTAGTGGCCTGAAGGTTAGGATGTCTCCTGCAGAAGCAGATGATATAATACTGGAATAAAAACAAATACTTTATCAGATACTTTGCCAGAATTTCATATACCTATTTAAATAAAAGCAGTAAAATGCGAGAAGAGAAAAAAGCTTTATTTATTAATCTATATGGTTCAAGTAGAAAGGGCATGAATGTTTACACATAAAAGCAAGCTCTATAAATTTAGCATCAAGCCAATGTAGTTTATCAAAATAGTTATTACATGTTCCTGCTTGGAGACTCTAGACAGGAGCCTGGTTGCTACGCTGCAGATACTGCAATTTCAGTTTCTCTTTCAAAGGCATCCCTTCACCAAGGGCAAAAGCAGAGACAAAACACACTTGAAATGACTTAAAGCCTAAATCAAAAGTACGGTAACTGCCAAACTGCTAACCAAGCTTCTTTTTTTAAAGAGGGAATATCAGTGTAGAAAACAAACAGCATAATAATTACTGATCTCTCCCCAGTCAACATGAACAGTTAAAATAAACATAAAATGTTCTGACATCTTGTTACTGTGTTCCTCAGATACTATCAGCATGCATGTGCCTGCATGCACACAGATCCACACACAAAAAACCTTACCTCTTCTTGGTAGCTGCTCCGGTAGGCCATCTCCAAATCATGATCAAGGAAGTTCAGGCTCAACTTGTTAATGGGTGGTTTAAAAAAATAGTCTTTCATCAAGCTGAGGAAAAGATTCATTTTAGGAAAGTTTATTCTCCAACAAAGAAACAATGATTACCCATCCTCCTTTGACAGATCACTGAAACACAGGCATTTCTAATTATTAGTCCATCCTTAATTGGGCTTGGGTGGGCCATGGAGCGCTCCCATGCAGAGCAAAGGTCCAGGTGATGAGAATGCTTTGCCTTACCTGTCTTCTTTAATAACATCAACAAAGTGAGCATCTGTTTTTTCTCTGATATTTTTGAACCGCAATGGCAGAAGAGCTGAATGATCCAAGCTTGCCCCAACCCATCTTCCTTTCTCTTGCAACATTTCATAAAGAGATGTTTGGCTGTTGCTCAGTTTCTCCTCTTGCGGGGGACTTAGAAGCCCATTCCGAGACTTTGGGCTGCCTCCCCCAGGACTCTGATTGAGACAAGAAGAAAAATTAAAGTGATTTATGATTAAGTCAGAAAGAATTCAGATCATACTTGTCTGTTTCTACAAGTATATTGTGGTAGAAAAATCATCTCAGTTCAAAGATTTTGTCATATTTTTGAATGTATAAAACAGCACTTGCAAGATTTAAAGAAAAAAAGAAACATAAGGCCAAACCTGATTAAATTAACAAAAGCAGAAAGATTTGTATCATGTCATGAATCATTTTATTATCACGTCTAATCCCAAAGGTGGCTTCAAATGAGATATACATTTTTTTAAGAAGCGTAGTTGGAACACCTTCCAGTCCACTTTCAGGACAAGAAGGGTCTGCCAGACCCCTTCGGCATTTGTCACTCCTGAGCAAACAGAAGTCAGAAGTCAGGTTTCTCCAGCTCTTTATGCTCAGAAAACCTCAAACAATGTTTAGAAAAGGAAAATGCTAACATTTCTTTAAAAACTATAGAAAATGCATTTTAAACTAAAATTAAATAAAGTACAATTTATTTTTTCAGGGTTTCAGGCTAAAAAAATTAGGAACCTAAAAAGAGCCATATTACCAGAGGCTGAAATTCCAACTCTTAAAAAGAAGAATTGTTAGGATGCCTGTACAGCACTGAAAAATTAAAACAAAAGGAGTTACACTAACCCAGTTAATGAGAAGGCAAAAGAAAGTGCACTATAAGCAGCCCAACTTACAAGGTAGCAAAGGGATTAGATTTGAAAAAGTATCCAACTGTACATCACGGTGTTCTTTAAATCATCCTAGGTCAAATTTCATACATGCCGGTCCTGAGAAGAAGGAAAGGGTTTGCCACTGGGACCATCCGCCCTTGAAGACGCCCGGGCCAGAAGGCCGCCTGTCCTGCGGTTTTACCTGCACCCTCTGCTGCAAAGGCTGCCAAAATCTGAGTCTGTCTGGCCCCGTGACTGACCTGCCTCAGCTTCTGCTCCATGGATGAATGAGGAGGAGGAAGAGGAGGAGTCTTGAGAATAAGTTACCTTTGTGCTGGTCTTGTGGTCCTCCTGGCATCCATTCTGAATGGCTCCTTCCTCTGCACTCATAGCACAGCCAGAAGAAAATGTAACACTGCATGAATGGCAGATCTGCAACCACAAAGAAACACGCTATAGGATGAATTCCTCCTTTCGTCCCTGGCCTGCCTGTACTGTGGGTATCTGTATGCTCTTCAAAATGGCACATATTTTGTGTAACTCCTAGGATGCTATCTAGGCCAGGGATCCCCAACCCCCAGTCCATGGACTGGTACCAGTCCGCAGCATGCCAGAAACCAGTCCGCGCAAATAAGCGAAGCCCCATCTGCAGGATGCAGGCGGCACATGAAACCATGCCCCCTCCGTCCGCAGAAAAACCTCTCTCCATGGAATTGGTTCTTGGTGCCCAAAAGGTTGGGGGCCTCTGATCTAGACTGCATGTGACACTTTTCCCACCTTAAATGTTTCAGAACAAAATGAAATGGATTTGGGCATGGAAGGAAGTTATCATGCACACAAGACGACAGCATTTAGCAGCTCTGTCTTTTCCCCATCTCACATCTCAACCCAATTTGTACAGATCAACAGATTAAACCAAGTATAAATACTTCTATACACATTAGAAAAGCAAATACTTGGTTTTTGGAACAAATGCTCTTATACACTCTTTGCAAAAGCAGACCCATCCAACAGCTATGGCCTTTTTTCTTAGTTGCATTGAATGATTTTGTGCCACTCACTCTACCAAAGCCAGGAACCCTGATCCTTGCCCCTTTATGCCAACTGATTGCTGGCTTTCTCAGAAGCGCTTAAGAGCAGCATTTTCCAGCTCTGTACTAGGCACCATTCATTCCTTCTGCAGTCAACAATGCGAAAGCTCCTAGGCTACGTGAGATTTAAACCAAGCCCCTCACAGCCAATTCATAATGTACACCATCTCATCTTATGACTTCCAGAGCAAAAAATAAAGCAATTTATGATTTGCCTTCTCAGAGGATCAATAACTGTAAATATAAGTTTCCAAGCTCAGGTAGGTTGTTAAAACAGGTTTCTAAACATTAATCCACAGAAATGTACAGAATTTGCATTTGTCAAACCTTATTTTTTTCTAAGTACTTGAATGCTTTTGTTAAATCATCCACATTCTCTGATGAAGCTCCCTGTGGCTTATTCCCGTCTCCTGCTTCTAGACCTGGAAGGAGGAGCATCTCCGAGCAGCTGCAATGGGTCTCCTTCTTTTTCAAACCAGAGATCAAGTATGTTTTCAAACCTACAGGAAAACTATAGTTAACATATCCACTATTCTTCCTCCACTATACACTTCCCCCCAGCTTACCTGTAGAGCTCCTTCTGCAAAGAGCTGTTTACTACAGCTGGCCATCCCACACCCCTTGCCATCACAGCCTGCAGAGCCAGCTGTTCAAATGACTCATTTCTCCTTTGGAAACAGCCAAATACACTTTTTAGCAACAAAACTGCATTTTATAAATTGCTTGGCTAGCTATTAGTAATTTGTTTTTCATTGGCTATTTTTCTATTATATTCCTTAAAAAAAATAGGATTGTGAAACATAACCCAGCAGCGTTTTAAAATTTTTAAATATTGTATATACTTTGGTTTTATTTAAGAGCATTCCGTTTCATTGTCACTGTGAATATTAACTTCCAAAAGGCTTTTGGTATCAAATGAAGACTTAAAAGACCAGACTGGGAACAACTTTGTGTCATTTGCAAACTGATGAGCATCCCTTCCATCCTCTCTTCTGGGCCATTTCTGCAGACACTGAAGAGCACTGCATGCACACAGATGTAGTTCCGTAAGGATTACATGCTGAGTGCGCTCAGTCAGCCAACTCCAAACCCATCTGGTAATGGCACAGCGTGTCCCACACTGTTCTATCTCATCAAGTAGTAGGCTGCCTTACACTCTGTCAAATGCATTACTGAAACCTAAATATATCACATGCACAACATTTCCACAACCTGAAGAAAGACTGGTTTTTGTGTACTTTACAGGATCTTTTACTCCAGTCCCACCCACTACTCATTTATCTCACATTTATCTGTGCTTTTCTTTTATTTAAGATCCCTTTATTAATCCTGGACAATGACCGTAATAAAATTGATACTAAACTGCTAGAAGTCAGTATATGGTCATCAGAATAAAAATTCTACTGACCATATACCACTTCTAGCAGTTTACAACACTCACAGAATCATAAAAACTGTCCCCGAAAAAGCTGGCATCAAAAGCAACTTTTTTCCTTGCCCAACAATCTTATGGAAGAGCTCAGTCTTAACTGCTCTCCAGAATACTGTAGTGCTTTTTCTTACAAAGTGATAATTTATTTTTACAAAACACGTGACTTACCTGCATAGCAATAAAAGTATATTTTTATTATAAAAGTGTACATTGTAAAGTGACATGAGTGACATGCCACAAACTATAAAATAATCAGTTAATTAAAATTCCACCTGGAAACCAAAAGACATTGCAAATACAAAGCACACCTCCCTCATCTTTAGTACCTCTTCAAGGAACCAGGAAAGGCAGAAGCACATTTACCTGGCAGGTTTCATGTAAAACATGAAATTGGTCCAAATCTGCTCACATTAGCACAAGAGAAGGAAAAGGTTAACTTCCAAAGCAAATCAACTCATTTACAGGCAAAAATGAGAGAAATACCTTTCAGCTGGTCTGCTACCACGCTCTGGCCCACGCGCTCCATCACCTTTCCATCCTCCATTTCGTAGCGATCATCCAAGTATTTTGCAGTAGCCTCTGAAATGTGGACCTTCCCAGCGACGCCAAGTTGTTCCATTAAATTGGCCAAATTGACATCATTGGACCAGACATCAAACTTAAACCTCCTCATTCCCAAAATGCCACAAAGGACCGTCCCAGTGTGTACGCCAACCCTCATATTCACCATCTCTTTCTTCTCTTGACAAAACTGCTCAATGGCTTTGATCATGCCCAAGCCCATCTCGATGCAGCAGTAAGCGTGATCTGCTCGGGGCTCAGGACACCCTGCCACACAGTAGTAGCAGTCCCCCAAGGTGCTTATCTTCTCGCACTTGGTGTCCTCGCAGAGGTGATCAAAGCGCCCGAAGAGGTCGTTCAAAAGCCCCACCAGGGCGTGCGCAGATTTGTTGGCACTCATTTTGGTAAAGCCTACGATATCGGCGAACAAAATACTGACTTGTTCTATCTGCTGCATCTTGAAGGGGCGAAACACGATGGGGGTCTTCTGAATGGATGGTTTCTTCTTCCTGCTTTTGGGGCTGGAGGCGGAGTGGCGCTTGACGGAGGAGTTCTCGCTGTCGTCGTCCCCCTGCTTCATCAGATCGTCCGCGATGATCCTGGGCATGACCGAGTGGATCATGCGCTCCTTCAGGGCCTTCTCCACCTCCAGGTCCTTCCCGTGCATGATGGACTGCCCCACCTTGAGGAAGGTGCTCCTAGACCGCACCTCCGACATGATGAAGAGGTGCACCCCGGTGGCGTGGATGCAGAGGTGCAGCAGGGCCTTGCCCAGCAGCTCCCAGGGGGCCAGCCGCTGGCCCGGCGGGGGCGCGAAGCAGCGCTCGTCGCGGAAGCCGTAGCCCAACGCCTCGAAGAGCACCGAGCCGCCCAGCCCCAGCAGCAGGCTCAGGTAGAGCGGCAGGTGCGGCACGGCGTACAGCAGCAGCAGCGCCTCCACGCACAGCGAGAAGCTGCCCACCGGCGACAGGCAGGGCGGGGGCGCGGCGCGCGCGCTCCCGTTGCCCCCCGCGCCGGGCCCGGACGCCGCCGGCAGCTGCGTGGCCAACGGGAGGGCCAGCACCAGCAGCGCCAGCGCCAGCGCCGAGCCGGCCGGGTGGCGGCCGTAGGCGCGCGTGAAGGTGAAGAGCAGCGCGGCCAGGCAGGCGCCCAGGAAGGCGAGCGCGCCGCCCGCCGCCGCCCCCGCCCGCGCCGCGCCGCCCCCCCCGCGCCCCCAGCCCAGGAAGGCGCCCCAGAGCAGCGCCGCCGCGCCCAGGTAGGAGAGCGCGTAGCGGAGCCGGCGCCGCGTCTGCGGGAAGCGGCGCTCGCGGCAGGCCTGTTCCAGGTTGCTCGAGTCGAAGCGCGGGTCCCACCAACGCGGCGAGGCGCGCTCGAAGAGCTGCGGCGCCCGCCCGGCCCCCAGCCCCAGCCCCAGCCCCGGGCCCAGCGCCGCCGCCGCCCGCGCCCGCCGCCCGCGCCCCGCCGCCCGCAGCCGCACCGCCACGCGCCCGCCGCCGCCGCCGCCGCCGCCGCCCCCCCCGGCCAGGCTCACCTCGGTACCGCGCGACGGGGGCGGCGGGGAGACGGCCGCCGCCGCCGCCATGGCCACGCCCGCCTCGGCTCTCCCGGCGCCGCTCAGCCCAGCCCGCCGCCCCCGCCGCCTCTCAGGCCCGCGCTCCCGCTGCTCCCGCCGGGCCGCGTCGGGCTCCGCCGCATGGCGCCGCGCCGGAGCCCCCCGCCCGGCTGCCTTCCCCGCCCTCGCGCCCGCCGCCGCCGCCGCCGCCGCCTGCCTGCAAACGCCTCACGAGCCGCGTCGAAGGAGAGGGAGGGGCAGCGGCGGCGCCGCCGAGGCTGCTGTCAGTGTCGCGCGGGACGAGGGGCGCCTGCGCGCGGCGCGGGAGACGGCTGGGGGCGCGATCTGCGCAGGCGCAGCCCGTCCCCTCGTCCCCCGCTCTCGTCCGCCCGGCTGTAACCCACGACATGGGGGGGGGAGGGGAGGGAAGGGAAGGCCGGGCCAGTCCCGCGGGAGCAGCTCCGCCCCGGCCGCCGCCGGGACCCGAAGGGCTGCTCGCCCCGAGGCTGCGGCTGCTGGGAAAGAGGCGAGGGGGGCGCCGCCGGGTTTCTCGGCTCCTGAATGCCTTCCGGTGGGATTCTGCGCCGCCGCGGGAGGAGCCGCTTCTGCTGCCGGCCCTGCCCGTCCTTCCTGCCAGACCCTTCCTCGGAGGAGCGCCGGCAGCCCCCGCCGCTCCCTTTGCCAGCGCGACGCGTGGATGATCCGTTGGAGGTTCGGGGATTTTAAAAAGGCCTAAAAAGCCCCCCCCGCCCCCCCCTGGCTTTCTGGCAAGGCCGGGGGTGGAACTCGGGCGCTGCTTCTGCAGCCGCCGCTGCGGTTCAGCCCCCCGCGCCCCCCCCCCGGTAAGTGGCTCCCTTTGCTGATTGGGGACCGCCGACTGTGCCCTTCCCTCTGGGCCGACCGGGGCCGGCTTGCCGAGCCCAGGGCCGAGTTCCCCCGAAGGGAGCAGGTTGAACGGCAGGAGGCTCGTCGGGAAGGAAAGGCTGAAGCCGTGGAGGGATTTGTGGATCAAAAATAGCCAGCAAAGGCTACGCGTAGTTCCAGAGGGAGCCCGGGGAATGACTGGTGTGTGAGGGGAAGAGCGCGAACTGCCGCCGCATCAGATCCTTTCGCGGACTGGCCGCTGCATCGCGCATCAGAGCCAAGTCTGCAGTAAAGAATTAGGAAGCTGACTTCCCAGCCCTTTGGACTTCCGAGCCCTTCGGAGCAAGAGAACACCAGGGGAGCGGAAGCACCTCTGCACAGCCTCACTGTGGTCTAGCCACTTCCTGAAAGCAGCTTCAACACTCAACCAATGACTTCCTCGAGGGGGAAATGGCTTAATTAATCTCAGCAACACTCAAACCACAGTCATCATCCAGTGATAGTGACTGCAAAAGTTGGATCCCCACTGACAGGACCTTTGAGAGCCCTCTGCGCATCTTTGAAAAACAACTGTCAGTTTCCCCCTTAACAACAGCTGGGCAGAGGTCCTGCACCCCAGGGTCGTGCAGATGTTCACCTTCCATGCTCGGAAGCATCTTGATTTTGAAAATCAGTCATTTCCATTGGGAAAAACTTGGGAGAACTCTTGATGTAGAGGTAACTAACTTGCATCTGTGGGCATTTCCTCCTCTCTCACCAGTTTTAGCTCTACAAAAAAGTGGTTTTGTGGGAAAAAATGGAAAAGCCAGGTTAGAGAAACAGCTGTTGTGCTGGAGATACTTCCTTTGATTCCAGTCACCACCATCCCTTTACACGCACCCCCGACACATATTCTGACTCTCCTGCCTGGCCTACCAGTATTTCTTTCCACACACAAAAAAATGTGCCTACAAGTGATAAAGTCATTAAGCAAATCCAGGCATGGAGAGAAAAAGAAGAGAGCCATTCATTTTGGAAAGAGATTCCCCATTTTGCCCTGTTTGTTGTGAAAGTGCTTTCTTTCGATCAAAGCTTTGCACTTTTCTCTGAAGCGGTGGCACTTACTTGCAGAGGCCCTGCTGTCAACCAGAGGGTTTTACCCATGGAAAGAAGCCCCAGGGAGGAATGCTGCTAGGTGGTTCAGCCATGGAAAAGCCCCTGCTGGCCCTCACACACCCACTTTACAATCCGATTCTGTTGCTCCCTCTGGGAGGAAATTTCAAGGTATTTCTAGCAGGACTACCAGATTCTGCAACAGCTTTGTCCCCTATGCCATCCGTCTGGTAAACTCGCAAGATTCGTTTTTCTTGCTATGTATATGTATACACCCGAACTATGTGTCATAGAATATATTGTGGGTATATGCAAATACGTTTGTCATATTTATGTAATGTATATTGGAGGTAGTGACCCTTTGAGAGCTGTACACAACGAAATTTCATATTAAAGTATGGCGATTAGTGTACATTTAAAGTGACAAAAAGTTTACTCTATTCCTTGGTGGGATCTCCCATTTTCATCCTTTCCACTCAAAGAGAGGCAACACACCAAGAAATGTGGCTGAAAAATACCAGAATTTATTGGGCTGAAGTACATAGTTTCTCCAAATATAGACTATTATTGTGAGCCACTGAAATGTATTACACAGCTATGTAATTCCTTTAAATACATCTGTCCACAACTCTGGCCAAAAGAAGCACACAACCACTGGGGGGGGGGGATGGTTTGGGTCTGGCATTTAACCAAAGGGGGAGGGGATGCTAGGCTTCTGAACATCCATGGACCACAAGAGCACAAATTCCCAAGACAGGAAGGGACAGGTGGTCACCTTGGATTAGCCGGCTGTTCTCAGGTCACAGCCCCGTGTGAGTGGGCAGAGGGTGGATGCCCCCAGATCCAGGATCAATTACCTTCTGAGATATTGGTGTTCCCATTGTTGTGGGGTCCACATGGTTGTCAAGCAATCCCAGGCCATGTTGTTAACACACGAACAAGTCAACTGTTAAGGACTGGCAAGGCCGTGGCTCAGGACTCCTACATTCAGTGGGTCTTGCAGGATTCTCCTCGCAACGGAACCAAGGCACCTGTCCCCATTCCCCCCCCCCCATACGTCTTCTCTGCCAAAGCTCTCCTGCCCAGCAAACCACGCATTTCCATTCCCTCCTTTTCAGCATTGCCAAGAACAGGGCAACCGACACCGCCCCTTCAGATTCACCCTACCCCTTAGCCTCCAACTCAACACAACAGATGAGGTTTCCCCTTGTGCAGCCTATGGGTTCAATGCGTACTCCAAACTGGGCAAATCAAAAGTACACACGTTGCAGAAACTTTTCATTCCATGCGACTTGCAAAATATTGATGTGTGGAAGGAACGGCAGAAAGGATATGAGGGGAATCCAGCAAGCCTGAGAACAAAAGGCTAAGGGAAATATATATATTTAAAAAATTAAGGACATAAAGTAGGCAAGGAAGGAAAGGACATCCTGCTTCCTTGGGGAACAAGCCCCTTTCATTGAGGGAACGGGTGGTAAAAGCACTTCTTTCTGCAGAAACATTGCCCAGAAGAGAGCGCTGCTTCAGAGAGTTCGCCAAACAATTCAGGAAAAGCACACCAAGATGGGAAATCATTGCTGAGAAAAGGAGCTGACATACGGGGGGAGGGGGAGGAGCTGGCAGCCCAGGGCAGGCTGAGAGCTGCCCTTGGCAAATTTCTTATCAGGCCTCCTTGGCCAGCTGCTCCTTTGCTTTTTGTGTCGCAGCTCCTGCGAGTCAAAACTGGTTGTGTGCAAGAATCCTGTGCTCCTCAACTCCGTGCAATGCAGCCAGAGGTTACAAGGGTGGGGCACAGCTTGTGAGGGAGGGGCCATGTTTGCTTCCCCTGGTGGTCAGGAGGCCTTTGGGGCCTTCTGTCAGCGCTCTGGCCCTTCCTTCTTGCTTAGCATATGCAAGGCCTCTGCCAATTTTACCTCTCCTTGATACATTGCCTCTTTTTTAAGTAACAAAGATTAAATCGTGACAGGTATTCACAGTGCTTTATTCTCTTCCCTAGGCCCACCCAAGTTCCCTGCCATTATGACCCCAGCTGCTCACTCTGTGGCCCCCAGAAGGGCTAACAGACCTTGGCTTCTTGGACAGATAAGACATAAGCTCATTCATCAACCGGGGCGCAAGAGGGTCAACGCTGGCAGCCCGCTAGTGCTTCTTGTAGCGGTTCTTTGGCGTTTCCCCACAGCCTGTGGTGTCGCAGGAGAGGGCGCCAGGCTTCTTTCCCAGGCCGATGCTCCCAAGCAGGTCAGGCAGCTCGTGGGTGATGGCCCTCTCGATCTTCTCCAGGAAGCAGCCTCCCATGTAGGAGCACTGCTGCGCAAGCAGCTTGAAGCTGTGAATGGGGTTCACCCCGAAGAAGTCCTTGTAGGCCTCGCGGTTGGGCAGATCAAACTTGCTCACGTTGGTCTTGGCCAGGATTGTTTTAAAGATGTAGAACTTGTCTGGATCCTCCACGATGTCTCTGAAGACCAGCTCTCCATCACTGAAGAAAGTCATTTTGTCCTTATAGGTCTGCAAGTAGCGATCGACCAAGAGAGCGTGGATGCGAACCCGGATGGCGTGCTGGCGAATGAAGGCGATCTTGTTCTCCAGCCGGTTCTCAATCACCTGGTTCAGGTCTTCCAGAAGGGAGATCTCCTCCTTCGAGAAGAGGTCCTGGTGGGTTTCGGCTTGGTACTCCATGGGCCAAAAGGAGCTGACGTAAACCCGGGGGGGCTCAGTAACGTTAATGAGGGGGGCCAGGCTCCAGAACAAGGCGCCGTATACCCGCATGAGCTCTTGAGTAGCCAGGCTGTCCGCCTTGTTCAGAATGATCCTGATCTGGGACTCCCGCCCCTTCAGCTGGCGGAAAAGCATCTCCAGCTCCAGCCCCACGTCCAGTTTGGTTGGGTCAAACACCACGAAGATGAGATCGGCTCGATCGATGAACCATTGGCAGACATCATTGAACGGGTAGCCTGCAAGAGAAAAAGGAGAGAGAACTTCATGATCTTTGAAAGGAGGAGCCAAGCGCCACTTAGCTGTGGCTCCGTATCGTGGGAACAGGCCAGCGAAGGGCCCTGTCTCTGAGCGATTATTTGCTGGATGCAAGAAGGAGCACTTACAAAAGGAAAAAAATCATAGCAGGTGGATTAGCCAAATTGCAAAGTCTTGCAGGCAGTGGCTACGATGCTTAAATGTTTGATTCTTATTTTAGGTAAGCTTTGAAACAAGCTTTGAACATTAGGAGGGTCAGGGATACAAGTCTCCTCTGTTTGCTGTCTTCTAAACTGGCCCCAGTCCTGGCAGGGCCTTAAAGGCCCGTAAGTTGCTCGCATCCATTTCCAGACGGCCCAAACTGGTTCCTTCTTCTGAATTGAGCATCGCCTGCTTGACTCCTTTTTTGTGTTTTCTCTTTGTAAATAAAGCATTTGTTCTAAAATCTGAATGTTTTTGTTTGGGATTTTTTTCTATTAACAATTTTCATTATTTTTTCAATTCAGTTTAAGTAATATCGAATACGAATACAAATGACTGAAGCAACATCTTGCAACAATTGAGACAGAACCAGTTTATATAACAAAACCGCTTCAGTCTGGCCCTGGCCGAGCTATGAAACGTCTTTTCAGCAGTGGATTGGAATGGCTTTACGTAAAGGACAGCAGATGGGCAGTGGCTTAAGAGACGATCCCTCCCAGGATCTGGAAACGGAAGACACAGAACTGCACCTCGCTCCTGCTGCTTCCGGTTTTCAATGATGCCAGGGGTGTCCACAAAGGTGACCCTCTCCAAGAGCTTGTGAGGGATCTCGATTCCGATCAGCTTCTCCAGAAAGTTCTGCCCGAACTTCTCGAGGGGGGAGAACGAGCGGGCACTGTCAGCAGCCATCACAATCCCTTCGATGGTCTTGACTTTAGGGCCGTGCATGATGACGGTGAACTCGGAAGTGGTGGGTTCAGCCCCTGTCCAGGGGGAAAGGGAAGCAAGGCACAGGTCAGCTGCGGGCCCAGACGCTCCTTTGGAGACTGCTGCCTTGCAAGCAGGACCTCTAAGATGGGTCCCCAACCCCCGATCCGTGGACCAATACTGGGCCGCGGCATGCCAGCAACCGGGCCGCATAAACAAGCAAAGCAGGCAGCACACAAAACCACGCCCTTTCAGTCTGCGGAAAAACCTCTCTCCACATAACCGGTCCCTGGTGCCCAAAACGTTGGGGACCTCTGCTCTAAGAAACCTCCGCGGGGTTTTCAACTCAAAAAACTCGGTTGCCCATCTAGAACCCACTTAGGGTATTGAGCCCATTGTGTGTTTTGTTTTGTAGGCCATTCTCACAGTTTAGAAGCTAACCATCACCACATGCTTCATTTTCTGCCAGCTTCCCATAAACCCAGCATGATTTGTGGTTTGCAGGTCCAGGCTGGGGTCAGGAGAGCTGGGGGTGGGGAGAGAAAGATACATGTTGTGTAGGGTCTACTTTGGTTCCCCTGCCACAGTTTCTGGGGCTGGCATGAATTTGCCCACACCCCAAAAAAAGTTGTGTGGAAACCAAACATTCTGGCTAGTTAATTCAGTCTGCAAATGGAGCAACCTCCTGGATTGAGAACTGGCTCAGAGGGACAAAAAAAAGTGTGGTCTGAGGGCTGGGTGGAAAGAAGGGTCACTCCTGCTGCAAGTAATTGGATCCGGGCCAGAAGCCAGAAAGTTTTGAGTCTTTTGGGGGTCCTAGCTACCCACTAGGGGAGAGGGAGGAACCAGATGTCAGCAGGGCTTGGCTCACCCCACCCCGCTCCCAGGCAAAGGTCTTTTTGGCCAGGACAGAAGCAGAAGGGAATAGGGGCTCAGCCAACGCAGCTGGAGGAGAGCTGGGTGGGGAGGTGCTTCCTATTGTTGCCGGTATTCTTTAGGCTTTGCCAGCTCCGGCCAGCATGCACTTTTTTCCTGGATTGAACGCTCTGGCTAATCTGTGCAGGAGGTCAGCAGGCCATCAGGCTACCTGTATAGAGCTGATGGGGGGTGTCATCCAGCCCCAGAAGGTAGTTAATCATGGTGGACTTGCCAACGCTCCAGGGCCCCAAGAAGAGCACCATTGGCTTGGAAGTAATCTCTCCATCTGTGGAGGGAAGGAAAGAGCAGTGATTTGGAATAAAGCAGAGGCGGCCCTTCTGGCCTGACAGTCAGCCCTGCCTTATTTCCCTGGAGCTTCACTAGCCCCCCGTCCCCCGTCCGGCATCCTTGCCTTCCCTGGGGCAACTATTCCAGGCAGGGCGAAGGGCGCCACAGGCCCAACACTGAGGGAAAGTGAGGAAGGCTGGGGCTGCCCCATGGATAGAGACCCTCCTTCAGCTCTGCAGGAAGCATCTGCCATAACAGCCCTCTCCGCCCCTCCACGACTGGATGCTGGAGAGCCCCCAGCCCATGAACCTCCAGGAGAAGAAGGCTGGCCAGAGGGTGGAAGGGGCAGCCTTCCCTAGATCCCCTGAGCAAATCATTTGCATCTGCTGCCGGGAGCGTATTTTCATCAGGACGGCACTTCTGTCCCTCCCCAAGGAAAGCTCCCCTGTGCTGCATTTCAGAAAGGAAACTGGTGCGCCTGGCGCTCAGTTTCTGCATTATGACAAAAGCCTGCTGGGTGCTTCCAAACAATGCTGCAAATCCTCCCGCAGATGCCAGGGAAGAGGACCGTTGCTCCTTTGCCCAGGAAGGGCTGAGGTCAGAGCAGCACAGGGGCCTTGGCAGCCATGCAGTCCTCAAGCCATTGAATGGCCCCTTCCCAGTTTTCTTTCTCCCAAGCTTCCCATTGCTGCCACAAGACGTGTGTGTGTGTGTGTGTGTGTGTGTGTGTGTGTGTGTGTGCGCTCCCTGTCCTGTCCTTCACTTCCCTGGCTGCCAAGGAGGCAACAGTGGCACACACTCTCTTCCGCCACAAACAGGAAGGTGGCTGAGAACTGGAATGGGGAGCGGGATGGTGCCCTTTCCTGGGTCCAAGGAACGACTACCTGGCAGGACCTTTACTGACAGGACAGGCAGCTCTACCCACCTGTGGCTGAAGAGCCCAGAGTACGTCCAGGGTAAGCTGTGGGGCAGGAGAGGAGGGTTGGAGAAGAGAAAAAGGAACATGAGTAGGGAAGGTGGGAGGGGGAGGGTTAGTTTGGGGCAGAAAAGAACGAAAGCAGAGGTTGGCATTACAGGGAGCGCAAGGAGCCACCGAAGGGGCTCAGCTGCTCTCCCAGGAAGCCCCCATGGTTAGAGTTCATGCTGCAAGAAGGTGTGTCACCCCCACGGAGATCAACTGGAAACCCCGCTCCTTGGGAAGGATGAAGGGGGGGCACAGCCAATCCCAGAGCACCTGCAGCCCTTGCAACAGGGCCTGGTGGAACAGAAGCCAGGGGAGCCAAAGGCTGCTGTGCCCTGGAAAAGCTACACAGCTTTGTTTTAAAAGTTGGTTCCAAAGTTTATGTTGCACTGGCCCTGGGGAGCGGGCCAAGGCCATGGCTCCAAGGAGTGCTGGCAAGCCAGGCCAGGGGGTGCCGATCCCAGAGGGCACCAGCTTTGGGAAGGTGACCCCTCTGGCCATGGGGAGGCTTCAGCACACCTCCAGACTTGCAGAAATACAAGGACCCATGCAGAAGGGGGAAACTCCATGGTGAGGGGGGCATTTCAATCCTCCAAGCATGGGATTCTCCATGGAGGAGAGCCAGAAAAGCCAGGGCCTTGTGGGGGAAGCAGAGAAGTCCTCCCAGGATGCGTTACCTTGTGGCAACCCCACCTGCCCTTGTGCGTTCCTCATCCCGCTTTTTCCTAAAGCCTCTTCTTGCTCAGGCCCCTCCTCTAGCCCGACCCCACCCCTTGAAGCCAGACCCTTGCAGGCAGCACAACAGCCAGACCCACGGCCCGACAGCCTTACCTGTAATTTCATGCTGCCGAAGCTCATTGTACTTGTAGGACTGCTCCAAGGGCTTGATGGAGGAATGATAAATTTTTCTCAGCCGCTGCAGGATGGCTGCAAGAGAGAGGCGGGGAGAAGGAAAAGTCAGCCCAGCCCACTACTCTAGGGGCCTCGCGGGCCTGCCAGGCAGAGGGCAAATGCTACACCTGCACCTGATCCCTTTGCAGCCCCTCCATCGCACCTTTGGCCCTTTCCACTCTGCAGGGTGGAGCCTAGCATCATACAACTGTTGGGAGGCTGGGGGGGGGAAGAGCTGCCACCTGGTCCATTGTGCCCAAGGGCAATGCCTCGCCATGGCTTTCCTTGCAAGGGAAAAGATTAGCGGGCAAAGGTGGCACGGGCAGGCAGGGTGGAGACATGGGGTCTGTGTGCATGTGATTTAAATGTTTATATAGCTCCCTCATTGATCTGGATGGATCTAAGTCTGGTGGATAGCAAGCCGAAGGTAACATACAGTCAAATAACACTCTTAGAACAATAGCTGCAACTGACTCAAAGGTTTATGTATTATCCTGAGCCATGATGGTGCAGTGGTTAGAATGCAGTATTTGCAGGCTGATTCTGCCCACTGCTAGGAGTTTGATCCTAGTAATAGTAAGAAAGTTGAAAGTTGGAAGGGACCTTGGAGGTCATCGAATCCAACCCCCTACTCAGGCAGGAAACCCTACACCATTTCGGACAAATGGCTGTCCAGTCTCTTCTTAAAAAGTTCCTGCCTTCTATCCTTCTGGAGTCAGTAAAATGAGGGCCCAGATTGTTGGGGGCAAGATGCTGACTCTATAAACCACTCGGAGAATGCTGTAAAGCACTTTGGAGCAGTATATAAAGTGCTATTGCTATAACTATCCACAGCCTTTGGTGGAGTCTTTGCGGGGTCTTTCCTGCCCCGGCGTGGAGTCCTACTGCTACCTGAGTAGTCGTCTGCGGGTTTCTCTTCCTTCAGCTTCAGGGTGCTCTCGATGTGGGATCGATCCCTCCAGGCATTCTCCATCTCTTCTGCTGAAAGAGCAAAGGGGGTGTCTCAGCCCACAAGCAGCCAGAGGGAGAGCCACAGCCAACCCAACTTGCCAAAGGAAATAGAGATATTTTCAACATTGGGTTCATTCACAATTGAGTATACAGAGATTTTTCTTGTATGGAAAAAGTTCCTTCTTTTCTCCCCAACTTCTACTGGTGCAAAAGGCCCGGCCAGGGAGCAAAGTTCAGGCTTCCGCCTTTGATGATGGACACCTGTTGTTCTCAAAAGAGGAGCCAGAAGGGTTTCTGTGACTTTAGCAGCCAGAGGGAGAAAGGGAAGCAGAGGGCAAGCCTTTGAGAAGTGCCCCCAATGACAGCAGGATGGTCTGTCCTGTGCCTCCAAGCCCCAACTGGTGGGGGGGGGGGCTGATTGGCCCATCTTTGTGAGTCCAGGCAAGGACACCCATCTATCCCTCCAGGAAGGCCAATCCTGGCTACCCGGCCTTCTCAAGCCGCCAGCCTCAGGGGAGCCCTGGTCAGGGATGCTCTCTGTGGAAACTGGGTGTGTCTCCCAGGGTGGCTTCTCCTTCTGCAGCTCTTAACCGCCCACTGGCCACGATCTGGAGACACGCTGGCCTTAGCTGCACACACGGATGGAACAGGAAGGCCTTCCTTCTGACTTCCCACCCTCTCCCCACTGATGATGGCTGGTGTCCCCTTCGCACAGCACCAACTCCTACCTTCCAAGAACCACTCCTGACAGCCCCCACAGCTGAGACAGGCTGCCTTGCGTTCTGGTTTGGCCAAACCCACCAGTGGACAAAATCAGTTGCTGCCTCCTCAGGCAAGGTAGGACAGAAGACCACGGAAAGGAACTGCAGAGCTCAAAGGAACGAACTCAGATGTCTGAGTTGGGCAACCTCCTTTAGACAATGGGGCTCTAAAATCAAATTCTTTTTAGCCTCTAACCGCAGACAGTTTCTTCTGTGGAACTGCTTGCCTGGAGAGCTTGTGCCATTTTGCTGCTTCTTATGGTGATTAAAAAACAGCAACAAATGGAGGAATTCTTGCCTCAGGGCAGCTCCTTCACCTGGCCTTGCAAGCCCAGGATTGCAAGCCCGTCACTCAGAAAGGGCACATTCGTCATCTCTTGTCCAGGATCTAAAGGAGTTGGGGATACGTGTGGTTTAATAAGAGCCAAGATACAGGCCAGGTGTCCAGCAGAGGTGAGAAAGAACCAGAGAATCCTAGCATGGAAGGGACCAGGGGGATCCTTTCCAGAGCAGACCCCGAGGGCATTTGGCAGACAACCATCCGCCCAGATCCGAGAATGCCACGGCTTCTGGGACCAAATTCCCCAGGGCACTCAGGAACCCGATCCCGAGCGAGCCTCTCCATGCTTTGCCACACTGAGCTGAATGAGTGCCAAAGCCAGACGAAAGGAATGGGGATGGGGGAGACGAGGACAAAATGGAGGGCCCTGCATTCCAGGAGCTGCCTCGGGAGTCCAGACCAAGCCCCCCAAGTGCCTCCCTTGGCCTGGGAAAGTTTGGCTTAGAAAGAGGGATGACTGGCCAAGGCCTTTTTCTCCCTCCTGCCCCTCCCACGAGCCTGACCTCCCCTGCCTTCTTTGTTGGGATGTCAAAGAGGAAGAAGGCAGCTGGCACAGGGAAATGGGCACAGCCAAGAAGACCGATCTCCTGGCCAAAAAAGCCTGGTCTCTCCTGGAGGTGGCTATGCCTGGCTGGGTGGCAGCTCCATTTCCACTCCCCCACAGGGTGTCCTCCTTGACAGAGGGCCTTCAGCTTCATGCAGGCCACTGTATGGGGCTGCCCCCTTCAGAAAAAGACCCCGGAAGGTCATCTTCCTTGGACTCTGCCTCACTTGCTCCTTCCCCTTGGCAGCCCCTCTACCTGGCCCTCCTGCCCCACCTCTGCCTCCACTGCTGCACAGATACCACCTCTAGGTTGCTTTCTCTCTGTTGGAGGCGCCTTCACTTCAGAGGCCTTTGCACCTTCTACCCAGTTGCCATCTGGCTGCCCTTCACCAAGCCCCAGTCCTTCCATGGGACGCTGGGCAGCAGCTCCGCCTTCAGCCACTGTAGCTTGTTCTTTGCCCTCCGCATCTTTTGGATGCCCTGCCAGTTCCTTCGTGGCTCCTTCCTGCGCTGGATGGGCACCTGCTGCCACCTCTGACTCTCCTGATTCACGCATATCCTTCAGAACAGCACTGAACGCCTCCCAGGGTTTCTCTCTTGGTGAAGGATTGCCCAAGGGCCCTTCCCCAAAGCTGCCTTCCAAATTTTTATCCACATCAGGGGAATCAGTGAAATTATCTTCCAGCTGTGCCTGAAAAGAATGGAGGAGATCCTGAGAAACATCTTGGTTTCCTCCTGGGAGGACACCTTGGACATCTTCCACAGAAGGAGCCTCTGTCTTCGGGGGAACCATTTCTTCACTCTGCAAGCCCTCTACCCTAAGTGCAGAAACCGGCTCCAGCTCTCCCGAGCTACTTCCACCTTCTTCGTGACCAGCCATCCCCTGCTCTTGGCCCAGGACCTCCCCTAGCTCAGCCACATGTGCTCCATTTTCATTCAGATTGCCCCTTTCTGCGCTGTCCACCTCAGGGCCTGTATTGGTGGAGCCATCATCCTGAGGCTTCTCCTGGTTGCCTGAGAACTGGAGAGGGATTCCTGTCCCAGCAACTTGTCCATTGAGCAGCCTCTGCTTCTTCACTAGACTTGAGTCTCCAGGCAACAAGCCACCCTCAGCAAAGTTGGCAGAGTCTTCTGCGCCCTCCAAGGCAGAAACTTGCAGTTCTAGATAGTTAGAACATGATCAGTCAGTTTCACTTGTGCCTCAAATTGCAAATGTGCTTCTGCATGAAAAATGGAACTGGACTCAAAGGAGGCTGAAAAGGCACATTTTGAGGCTCTTCTAAATCCATTTCCAGTCCTGACCTGACCAGCAGGCTTAAAATCTAGCTTGCCTGGCCTGGTCATAGGTACAAACTCTGTGCCAACAGTTTTGCCAGGGTAGGTTCGGGAGGGTGAGCGTCCGTCTTGGATAACACACGTTGCTCTGAACCAGCCTCCCAGCCAGCACTGCAACAGCCCCTTCCAGTCTAGCAAGACAGTCAGTCAGTCAGACAGAGGGAGCAGCCCTGAGAGTCTTTTCAGGGGTCTTAGCTCACTTGAGGCCATCCCCTTGGGGTCTGGCCACCTTTTCCCACCTAACTGCCTTCCTGATTGTCTTCTACTAAACAGCCAAGCAGAATAAAAAGGGGAACCACAGGGATGTCAAGGAGAGCTTTGCCTGTCCAGATGGTTGGCTTGCAAAACTGCAATTAAGAAATCCTAACCATCTGAATAGACTAGCAGGGCTGGCACAGGCTAAAAAGCAACCATCTCGGCAAAACACTTTTTCTACCATGCAAACAGAGAAAGCAGCTCTGGAACGGACCTATTTCCCTCCTCCCCCCACCCAGGGTAGCGGAGGCAGCCTTTCTTCTCAAGTGGCGGGGCCTGCTTGAGAACCCCCCTCCTGATTGTGGCTCTCTTTGCCCACCTGCAGAAGCCACCTGAGGAATCCAGGGCAGCAAGGGCCTCTTTGCTGATCAGGAAAGCAAACGTGGCTGGATCTGCAAGCAGAAAGATGCCAGGGGGGCTTTCCTCCATCGCTCCTGGAGAAAGGGATCCCCAAAGGAGGCCAACTGGCTGAGGGGCAGCCGAGATGTTGCTGTCCCTGCTGCTTTGTGGGCTCCGAGCCAGGCCTGCCAGCTGAAGAGGGGTTGGCCAGTCGCCCGGGAGGGAAGCTAATGTGCCCTGTCTAGGCTTCCGACTGTCCCTTGGCCTTTAGCAAAGGAAACCAGGCAAGGACTCCCTCTGTGGTGGTTCCAACAGAAACAGCAAGATCTCGAGGCATAATCTCTCCCCCCTCACCTGACCCTCAGGTAGACAGCCAGGTCCTACCTGCGAGGAATCTCATCACCTACATGCGAACCCAGAGAGGAAGGGCACGACAGACCGGTGGTGTTGAAGTGCACCAAAAAGCCCAGAGGGGCCCAGCAGGGGAAGGCGAGGGGAGCTTGGTCCTTGTGCTCAGGGCTTCCTGGGAGGAAAAGATCCCAATGGGTCCAGGACCCTGCCTCTGCTCCTGGGAGGAAAGGGGGCTGGAGGCTTCGCTGCCTTGAAGAAGGTGGGCTTTGGGGGCTTCTCCATCTTTCAGCCGAACCCTCTTCTCTTGCACGCTGGGCAATCTGTGGAGGAGCTTCCCGAGCGGGACCCAGTCGTGCCTCGGCTCCGCTGCCCGTGCCAAAAAGCCAGGCAGGGTCTTTGGTCATGCAGCAGAGAAGCCCAAGCGCTACCGCAGGGGGCTGAAGGGCAGGGGGCAGGTGGCCTCCAGGGCTTATGCAAGCAACCTCCAAACTGGCCACCTATATCAAGCACCAAATTGTGCTGATCTGCAGATAGGTGGGAGGGAGGGCCACGGTGTGGCAAAGGGGCCGAAGGTGTGGAGCTTAGCACCAGCAGCTTCCTCACTGCACTATAAATACCACCAGCTCTTGGAGGGGCAGTGGGGAAAGTCACTCTTGGGAGAAGCCCAGAGCCAAGAAACTCCCTCCCACCCACCCACCCACCCTGCCAGCCAGCTGCAAACAAATTTGCAAGCATGGCAGGCTGCAAGGAGCCCACAAGGCCTATTCTGAGGAGGGGAAAGTGAGGGAGGAGAGCCTGCCACAACAGCCTACAAGCCAGCCACAATCCGGCCTGCCCTGGCCTCTCCTGGGTGTTGGGCAGAGGGCCAAGGGAGCCATGGTTTCCCAGGAGAGGGAGGAGGCTAACTGCCAGGACTGGGCAGGCTCCCCTCCCTGAAATGAGGGGGGAGTCATTCCCTGAATACAGGGGAGGAGGAGGAGAGATAGAGATACATCCGCTCCAGAAGTCCCCAGAGATGCAGGAGAGGGGGCTGCAGCCCATGACAGCTAGCTGGCCACTGGGGCACCGTCTCTGGCTCCTGGGGCTCCTGGTGTAAGGCATCCCTGGTCAGCTCTGTTTTCTGGCCATATCATTCCCACTCGGAACCAGGCCTGGGAAAGGAGCTGCGGCGTCTGGCTCCTGCACCCAGGACCCCAACCTGGTGGGCTCTGCAGGGTCCTTCACCGGGGGCCTTGTCAGCCGGCCAAGCAGGCCTTAGGCAAGGTGGCGGCTGAGGGCAACCAGCTCTGCCGACACAAAGCCAAGAGCCCATCCCAAGAAGGGGTCCAGGCTGCCTCCCTGCTTAGCCTCAGGGGCACTCTGTCTTCAGAACTGCCTGATGGGCAGCATGGAATTGGAGCCCCCCTTGGCTTGCAGCAAAAGGTCTGCCCGCTGCCCTGGGAAGGCTCAGGAAGTCAGCGGCTCAGAGCTGTGGAGGAGGAGGAGGCAGCGTCATGCTGGCTCAGGCTGAGGGCTGCAGCTGCCTCGCGCTTGGTCAGCCTTAAGAGTGCCAGTTGCAGGACGTAACCCAAAGGGACAAGGAAGCACCAGCAGGGGTGAGCAAATTGCATGGTAGTCAAGCAAGCTGGCCTGAGGGAGGAGTCGTCCCAAGAGGAGAAGCAGCTAGGTAGGAGGGCCCTCACGCCAAGAGTGATCTTTCGACTTTTCCCCTGAGCAAGCCACTGCCCCCAGGGACCCTCCCCCAGCTGAACCCCCATGGCCGGAGAAGGAGGGGGCGCGAGGCTCCTGCTGGCCAAAGCGGCGCCGGAGCGGCAGGATTCGCTTCAGGGACCGGCCGGGCAGCCCACCTAGCCCGTCTCAAGGGTGCCCTCTGGTGGCCAGATTGAGAAGAACGTGACGGCCGCGCCAAAGGGCAGAGAAGGGCCGTTCCGCTTTTCCTTTGCGCCTGTTTTTCTGGCCTTTGGCCGAGGAGACAAAGGGGCCAGGTCCCTGTCCCCGCGTGCCTGTTTTGGGTGGGTGGGTGTGCAATAGGAAGGGGTCGAGCGAAGCCCCCAGTGCACTATTGTGGGAAGCGAGAAGCCCTGCCCCATCTCCCCCCCCCCCCCCCTGGTCCTCCCGGCTGCTCAGTTTGGAGACTTTTCGGAGTTCCTTTAGGGTTCCCCGGGGCCAAGCAAGGTCCCTGCCAGCTGAGGCCCTGGCAAGTGGCCCGGCTGAGTGAGAGCGTCTACGGAGGAGACCCAGCCTCCTCCTCCCCCTCCCGCCAGCCTCCTGGCCCAGAGCTCCAGTGGGCACTTCCTGCTTTGCAGCCACCAGCCCAAGGGTTGCCCTCCCTCCTCCCAAGCAGATGCCAACCAGAGGTAACACAGCTGGCAAAACTGCCAAGAAAAGCAAGTCCCCCCCCCCCGAAAGTGGGTCAGCGCAGCAGGGGAAAGGGAAATGCTTCATACTCCGTCTGGAGCTCCTGAAGAGAGCCAGGCGGGAAGCAACTGGTCAAGTACTTGGCCAGGCCTGGCAGCCTTTCGCCTTCACCTTTCTCTCCTTTGAGCTCACTCAGAGACACAACACTTTTCTCCCACACCTCCCCAGGTGCACGCCCGACCATGGCATTCATTCAGACCTGCTTCCACTACTGGGACAAGGAGGACACAGCTAAAGCCCTGTGAGCAACCACTCAATGCATCCAAAAAATGATTTTCCAGGTCATAGAATGCCCCCCCCCCCAGCGTTGGTGCTAGTTCTGCACTGCTCCTGTGAGAAAAGGAACACGGGAGTTCTAGATGAAGCTCTGGGCACCAGTTAGAGCCCACCCTCGGTTACCATGTGTCCCCATCCAGGGGTGGGAGAGATTCCCCCTCTTCTGGGAGGTACATCATGGAAACTCAAAAAGGGGAGCAAGCCCCCTTGTTCCCAGACCCTTGGGTGTCCTGCTGCTGGGAAGGAAGGAAAAGGAAAGGGAAGGAGGGAGGAGGAGGAGGAAAGGAGCCCCCAGCCCTGCTTGTCCATCTCCTTTTGTCCTGGGAATGATAAAAGATGGCCGTAAAAGGCTACGGCTGGTCCAGAGGGCCTGTGACAGTGTGAGAAGGCAGCAGGTGAGCCGATGAGGGCAGCGGGGAAGGCGGGAGGGCTCCAGAAACTTCAGGGCTCCAGTTACACGCCTGTTTCCATACTTAGCTCCGGGAGGCAGCTGGGAGGCAGCGCCCAGCCAGCACAACCAAATTAACTCAAGGGCACCCAAGGGGAAGGCGTCAGATGCCACATAGTTCTGCCCAGGGCCCCCGAACGGGCAGCGGAAAACCCAGGTGGGAGGGGCAGCCTGGGGCCCTTAAGACACAGGGGATCCCTGGGGAAACAGGTCCCCAAGTGCTGAGCAGAGGAACAGGGGGCTCCCAGCATGGCACCTACAGATCACCCAGCCCAGCTGCTCTTCCTCCGGCTCCCCTCAGCCCTGCCGCTGCTCTCCCCATTTGCCCCAAGGCTGCTAGCCCCATGTTGCCTGCCATGGTCCTGGCAAGTTGGCCCTCCCCATGAGCTCTGGCCTTCGGACAGGGGACCCTACCTGCCGCCCCGAGGAGTACAACTGGTGCCAGGCAGAAACAGAAGAGCCTCAGTGCTGCCATGCTGGCTGCCAGGAGCCTTCTCCCCTTCTTCCGCACTATTTATACTGGGGCAGGTTCCTGAGAAGCAGATGGCCGCTTGCCCGGAGGGCCCACACAGGCGATGGTGCCGGTGCTGGACTGCTGGAGGCCCCTCCCCACCCAGCCTCTTCACCAACCTCCGTCAGTCCCCCCTCAGAGGCAGCTGCCGCTAAGGGGAGAGAAGAGGAGGGGCATTACAGCAGCTGCTGCCCAGGGCTGAGCCTGGAGCCAAGGTCCCAGAGGATGGGAGGGGAACAGGGGGAGGAGGGGCAGGGATCAGCTCTTGCTGCCCAGGGCCTCGGCAGCAGCAGAACCTCTCCTGTACTGGCACAGTGTTCTCAGGTGACCTGTATGGCCACAGGGGAGCTGGGCAGCCCCCACAGCCTGCAAAATGCACAGGGCCTCAAAAGAGCTGTGTACGAAGCTGGTAGCCTTTGGAGCAAGAACAGCAGATTGGTGAGCACAAGACAAAGGGCACGGCCTTGTCACAAGAGACCCCGGCAATATGTGCTTTCAGGGGTCAGCATAACGCTGGGTCTGGGCACCAGCAGCCCCATGCCAAAAAGTTGCCACCCGGCCTTCGGAAAAGGCAGTACTCTCTGGAGGGGCAAGGCGGGGGAGACTTGAGCTGCCCCGAAGATTGAAGAGACCCCATGAAGTAGTCGGCTTCCATGCTTCTCCTTTTGGAAGTGGGGAGGAATTAACTTAGACCCCAGGCCACGTGATGCAACTATGTTCTAGGCCAGGGGGGCAAAACCCATCCCACCACCATCCCCTTGGTCCACAAAGGGGAGGGGCAAGCACAAGCTCCCTCTGCTGGGCATCACAGAAACTGCAAGCAAGGGAAGTGAAGGCAGGCGCTGGGATCTAAATTCTAGAACATTGAGAAGGGGGGGGGGTCCATGGTCCCCTCCTCATATAGTTCCTGGCATGGCCTGTGCTGATGGTCTGCAGTGCTTATAATGAACCTTATTCCTTTTCTGTAACACAGAGTTGAAGCCACTCCCACAAATTTCTTGCCTGTCCCCCAACATTAGCAAAAGTCTAATCAAAACATATAAAAAACAAAGTACAAACTTTATTTTGTTTCTTTACAAAGGCACAAGCCTCATTTTTCCACTTTCTTAACAAAATATAATAGCATCTCAATGAACACAAAGACCTGAAACTTGTAAAAAAAAAAAGAACAAAAAACAACCCATATAAAAAATATGAAAGAACAAAGGAACAGCTGTGGCTGGGGGGAACCTACTAAAAGCAACCAGCACAAAATAGTCCTGGCCAAGACCTCTGTCCAAATTGGGGGGGGGGAGACAGGGAGGCACAGAATGCAACGACAGCAACCGTCACGGAGCAGAACCGCTCTTCGCGGACCCAGTCAACCCATGGAACGGATTTAAGTGCTTCCAAGAACGAAACCCCCCCGAGGAGAGGCCGGGGGTCAATGCTCTCTCCCAGACTCTGAAAAGGCCCCAAGCCTGAACCAGCTCCCAAGAATGGAGGGGACCAAAAGGTGTGCGAGGAGGGCCAGTGAGGCAGAGACAACCCTGAGGCCTACCGACACCAACCTTCTCCCTGGAGCTTTTAGAGGGCTGCAGGAGTCCCTTCGCCCCTCCGAGGGCCAGGAGCAAGGCCGAAGAGGGGCAAGACCCCACAGCTGGAGGCGCCAGAGGAAATCCATCCTTTAAGCCAGGAGCCGTGGACTGCCATGTGCCGGGAGAGCCTGACTGTTTGCAGCTTGCCAACCCCCCGCCTCAGCTGCTTCAAACTGGACAGCCCGATTTCCAGCTCATCCCCATCCTAATGCTCCCACTTACAGTATTGGAAGGTCACAAAATAGACCCAAATGTTGTGGTATTTTGTAAAAATTTCAGCATATTTCCTGAAGTCCCCTCGCCCCCACCCTGCTCGCCCTCCCGCTGCCAGGCAGAGGTCAGGGCATCCCGGCCTTGCTGTGTTCCATGGAATCGTCGTCTTCCGCCTCCAGGTCAGAGGCCGTGTCCGAGTTCGAGGGGTCCAGGCTGTTCCGGGCAGGGGTCACAATGACTGCACCCCGGCGCTGCTCTTCCTCCTCCAGCAGCTGCTTTTCCCGAGTCCCCTCGATGTGCTGGATCGCCTGGGGGGAAGACGGCAGAGTAAATGCCAGCAGGCTCTTTGCCCCAGGACTGACCGGGAGTCTCCTGCTGGGCTCTTCCTGCCCTGAGATGGGCTGCCTGCTGCTTGGGGCAAGCCTTCTCGGTGGACATGTCTGGGCCCTGCAGAGACCAAGAGGACAGCGCCCGTTTCCCTACTCAGCTTGGAGGGACCCATCAGGGCAAAACAGTGTGCCAAGTCTGGCCAAACAAGGCTGCAGATTCCGAACAGGAAGGGCAAGGCCCTGGTCCTGGGCTGCCACCCGTACGGATGCCAGCTTCAAAGGGAACTTCCCCGGAGGCCCCCCTCTCCTCCAAGGGGCTCAAGTGTCTTTCTGTAGCCAGGCCAGGGAGGGGGTGTGTGTGCAACCAGGGGCGCTGTTCTTGGGGAGCACCGAAGCAGAGCTCTACAGTGAGGCTGGTAGCTACTCTTGGGGGCATCTGCCAGGGCCTGTCCCATGCCCAGGGAGCAGCCCACTTCCCAGCCTCTCTGAAGGAGGAGGCCAAGGACCCCTTCCTTTCTGCTCTCACCTGAACAATCGTGTCCAGGTTCTGCCTGGACGTAGAGATAGTGTTGATCACTGAGGAGGGGCCCATGGTTACCACGGTGACATGATGCGAAGGCGGAGGCGGTGCAGGAACAATCACTGTTGGGTGCTGGGTGGGTGCCGGGGGGCCATGCGCAGGCAGGAGCTGGCGAGGAGAAAGACACCTGGCACACCGCACCAACCGCACAGGACAGCGGGGCTCCCGTACCAGAAGGCCATCCTGGGCCTGAGCCAGACACACGGGAAGGCCCTTGGAGAGCTCGGGCCCTGCCGTGCCCCGGTGGATCCGAGAACCCTCCCTGACCCCAGAAGCCCTGAGCCACACCTGGAGCGCCAACGATGAAGCACCCCCCCCCTTTCCAGGGCCACAAAAACCTAGAAGTGCGTGAGTGGAGAGGAGGGAGGGAGGGGGCAGAAGTCTCTGTAAATGCTTCTGAACCAACAAGATGGGTGCTGTAGCCACCTTCAGCCCTTCGGTGAGACCTGCTTTTGGGCACAGCCATCTTAGATGGGTACCCCGACTTTGTTTTCCTCACCAAGGATATGCCACCCTCCCCTGTGCATCTGCTAGGGACATTTGGGGCAGTGCTGCGGCTTCCTGTTGCCGATGGCGTGGAAACGGCGCAACCCTGTTTGCAAAGGGCCAGGAGGGAGACTGACTTGAGGCCACGCGCTCACCCTGCCAAAGCTCAGGTGCCTCTGGCTGCTGTGGCCTCACCTGTTCCTGCTGCTGGAGCTGCACCTGTTGGGCAATCACCTTCAGCTTCTCCGGGTACAAGTGGGCCTCCAAAGAGCGTACCTATCAGCCGGCCAGAGAAAGACTTGTCACCTTCCACAATGGGCAAGGAGGCTTTGGGTGCAGAAGGGGCCTCTGGCTGTTTGCCCTGGCCCCTGGCCCCTGGCCCCCTGCCTGCCCTGGGGGGCATTTGTTTGCTAGTGCACTGCCCAGAAAATGCTCTGTGAGCCAGCCGCCAGACCCGCAGGGCACACCTGCTCTTCCAGCATCATTCGGACCGAGCGTTCCTTGTCCAGCTGCTGCCGGAGCTCGATCATCTCCCTGCGCAGGTCCTCGGCCTTCTCGTCCTCCCAGATGTCTGGCGACCCAATGCCTTCATCCTTGTCCTCTGCTCGCCGCCGCTTTGGGGAGGATCCACTGAACTCCTGCCAGGAAGGCCCAGATTGAAGGGGGTGAGTGCAGAGGCCATGGGGAAAAGACCCCCCCCCCAGTCAAGGCCTCCCTGGTGCCCACCTGGATGAAGCGCTTGAGCTGAGCGTTCTGCTGCAGCAGCCGTGTCTTCTCCTGCTCCAGAGAAAATATGTACTCCGCCGTCTGCTGAAGGATCGCTGCCTGGCCAGAGGAGACAGAGAACTCCAGAGGGTACAGACCTGCCCCCCTCAAAAGGACAAGGCTGCTCCTCGGTCAGCCCCTTCTCCCCTGCTCAACCAGCTTCCCCTGGGGAAACCCCTTCCCTGCTCTGCTCCCAGAGGTCCCACGTATCATCATGGCTTTCAGCAGCTGGCTGCACCCCATTGTTCCCCAGGGAACAGCCTCCTCTCCCTTTCTCCGGCTTGGGTCCCCCCTTTTAGCTACAGTATTCAACCTGCGGAGGTTCCTTAGCCCATCACCCCCCCATCTTCTTTTCTAAGCACGATGCCCCAAGGCCTTTGCTCCCCAATCCTGGTGGGTGGACCCCCACCTGCCATTAGGGCCTGGCAGGGACTTGCTTGACCCCCTGCCAACCGCGCTACTGGGGCTTTGCTGGCAGCCTCCAATCAGTGGGGAGATTTAGATTCTCACCTTGCTGAGCTTCTCCCCGTCCGTGTGTGGGATGAGAGTTTTCAGGGACTGAAACCCCGCATTGATACTCTGCATACGCCGTCGCTCGTTGCTGTTAGCGATCTCCCTGCGTATCCGTCGCTCCTGGTCCCTCTGCGTCTCTGGGGTCAGGGGGATGTTGGCCAGGCTGCAGCAGGCGAGCCCAGGTTAGGGATGGGGCCCTCAAGACTCCCCCAGTCAGTGACCAGCCCTACTGCCCAGCAGCATGTTCCAGCCAGTTGCCCAAGCTGCCTGCACTATGGCCTCTCTTGTCCACCCCTGACTAGCTCCCTCCCAAGGGGGGCTCCTTAGGATCCGTTCGCTCATTGTAGCCCAGAGTCCATCCGCAGCTCCACAGCACACCAGTCTGTGGTGCCAAAGAAGTTTCTCTCTGATAGCTGCTTCGGAGATGCCCTGCAATCCAGGGAGGAGCAGACCCCTCCCTCAGGAAGGCAAACAGAGCAGCTCTGCCTTGAAATAACCCAGAGGGTCTGTGAGAGAGTGGGGTGTGCTGATGCATGCTGTGGTCTGTTGTCACAGTGAGGCTTTCAAAGAACCTCAACAAACTGCGCTGCTTAAGCATCTTCCAATCCATTTTATGTCCCTGACCATTTCCAGGCTACACTTGACCCTCCTGTTGAGCTAAAATCAAGTAGCAGCAGCAGCACAAGTAAAACAGCATTTCCACACTAAGGAAGCCCAGAGTGGGCCCAATTCACCCTGAACTTCACCCACGATCACCCAGGGGAGATGGGAGCAGGGTCAGCCTGACGCATCAGTGGATTTTTGCACAACGGGAAAGATGGTCCGGTCACTTGGTCGTGTGATGCGTCGGGCATGCCTGCGCTCGGGGCCAGCCACGGACCAAGGGACACCCACCGCGCGCTTCCGCGCGGAAAAGCCAGCGAGCACGGCGGGGCCCTCACGGGAAAAGGCCGCCTCGTATGCCGGCGGGGATGGGGCGGCGAGCAGAAGCGGGGAAGAGCCGTTGCCCGGGACGGCTCGGATCGGGGCCCCCTCGGAGCGGCCCGAAGAGGCGCCCGTGGCCTGCCCCGGCCCCGTGCAGCGCCCCACATGGAGGCCGCCTTCCAGCCCAGCTGGCGGGGGGCGGACACGCCGAGGGGGCCGCGCCGCCGAGCCCGCTCTTCCCGCACCGCCGGGCGGGCTGCCGCGCACAAAGAGCGGCGCCCGGCCGGCACATGCGGCGGTTGCGGGCAGCCTTTGTGCGAGGCGGCGCGGCGCGGCGTGGCCGGCCGAGCCCGGCACTACATGTCCCGGCAGCCCGCGGCGGCAAGGCCCGCCCCTTCGGAGGCTGCACAGTCACGGCCAGGCCCGGCCGCCGCGCTGCCAGTAAACACGCGGCGGGCTGGGAGAGGCCCGGCGGGGCGCGCGGAGTCGCAGGGCCCGGGGCGAAGCGGGATCCGCCGCCCCCTCTCCCCCCGCCGTCCGCCCCCGTACCCTCAGGGGCCGGCCGGACCGGAGCGTCGCTACCCGCCGCGCTCCGGCAAACAGACCCACGTGCTCGGCCGCCGCCATCCCCGTCCCTCCCGCGCTCCGCGGCCGCGGCGGCGCCGGCGCTGCAGCCCGCCCGGCCCGGCCCAGCCCAGCCCAGCCCCCGTACCCACCTGCACAGCCCGCCGATCACCTCCTTCTCGGTCTTCCTGAAGTGCTGCAGCGGGGGCACCTTCTGCGCGGGCACCACGAAGTACTCCATGCCCGGCCGGGATNCCGGCCCGGCCCGAGCGCTGCGCTGACCGGGCGCTGGGAAATTTGTTCGGCCAAAGCAAGGCTTCTCCAGGGGCACCTGGTTTGGCTCTGCAGCCGCCTGCCTCGCTTCGGAGCTCTTGGCGGCGTGGAAGGGGCGAGGAACGCCCCCCAGGTGGGGAATGCCGCCTCCGAGGGGGACGAAGTGGCCGAGTCCCCTCCTGCCCTACCAAGGGCCATGCGCTCCGGAGGCGAGGAGGAAGAGCCCGGCTTCTCCCGGCCAGGCTGGGGTTGCTGCCCTGCTCCCCAAAGCGGCTGCCAGAGCCGAGCATCTCCAGGAGGAAGGGGCGAGAAATGTGGGGAGCCTTTGGTGCGCCCTGACTGACTGCCCCCCGGGGGCCTGCCTGGTTCAGCCCTAAGGCTGTGGCGGAGGACAGCCAGGGGCTGCAGAGTCAGGCCAGCTGCTCCTGGAGAAGCCTTGATTTGGCCAAATAGGGATGCTGGGAGTTGTAGTCCCACACAGCTGATTGGACATGGACCTCTGCCTTGACTGGAACTTGCAATAGGGGTCAATTTCCATGCAATTTATGCAACCAGCTTAAGGAGTGGGCCAGGCCAAGCCCCATCAAATTTATTGTGCTGGGCAAATCAAGCACTGGAGTGGCCTCCAAGCACTGCCCCCAAAGCCAGCCACTTGCTGGAAGGGCTGGAGAAGCTTCACTACACGCTGCCTGCTTGCTGGTGGCTGGCCCTTGATGTACCAGGCAATGCCTGCCCTGGGGCTACCCTCCTTGCTGAGGGATTACCTGATCCCCTTCTCATGGGCTTCTTTAGCCTGGCAGTCTTATGCTCTGGCCACATGGTGGATGGAGCTGGCCACAGGGGTCCCTCTTGACTTCAACTGCTACAGAGTGCTCACCGCTCAGCCTTCCACTGCCACCTTCTCCCCCCCCCCAGGGAAGAAGTGACCAAAGGCACCTTCTGGCCAGGCTCCCACAAAACACGAAGCCAAGGTGAATTAAGCTTCCTTCTAACTTGTATGACCCAGCACTTTGATTACCTTTACACTAACCAAGGCAAACTATCTCAGTGCTGTAGGAAGAGATACCTACCGACTCCCACCATTCTGGCTGGTTTCATGCCATATGCTTTGTCAAATTGGCCAATGCGAAGCAAAGCCCAAGTGTCACCATTATGGCTGGGTGCAGTTTAAGTCTTAGTGCTGGCCTGGGGAGGGCACCCAGCCCATGCAGGCAGAGGAGTGTGGTCTTGGTCACTAGAAAAGCCGATGGGGGAACTGGCTCTGCCAGCATTGGTGCCTCTTCCTTCCTGAAGTGATTGTCCAGAGAAGATACAAGGAAGGGAAGGCTGGGCTATGGGCCTGAAGGGGAGACGAACTTGCAGCTGGAGTACTCTTGGATTCAGTCTGAGCCTGTGTGCAACAGCAACAGCACTGGATCTAACCAGGGTGGCGTTATCTGGTTAGCCTCTGCGGCAGAATCTGAACCGTTAGTCGTAGTCAAGACAATTGCCCACGATGGGAGACTGGAGATTGAAAGTTTCGTATCTTGCTGAAATGGCAAAGATTTCGGCTTATTTGAAGAACCATTCGAACGAACAATTTTTATCAATATGGAGAAGATGGATTGTTTATATTCAAAAGAAACACAGAGTGGTAGAATATAATTTAGGTTTCTAGATTTTTTTAAGTTTGTTTACTCTTTCTAGCCTTTCTTGTAGATTAAGATACTTTGTGGAGTTAGAGATATTAGTATTTGTTTACTTTTATATGAATATTATCCTGGGATTAGGTTTGTGAAGTCCGGGGGGGGTGGGGGGTTTTTTGATTGGTTATTGTGTTTACTTATGATTGTTTTTTATGATGGAAAAAAATAAATAAAATTTCTTAAAAAAAAAGAAAAAGACAATTGCCCCAATGGCATCACGCCCTGCTAGCCAAGACCAAAGAAGTCACACTCCACATGGGGAGCATGTTGAGAATCAGCCCCAACCTGCAAAAGAGGTTGGAGGGTCAGGAAGTCAAAGGGCAGCTCCTTCCATGCCTTTGAACTGAACTGACCCAGCTTGACTGCAATTCGCATTTTGCACGTTTACAGTTCCCAAGACTGAAGGTCAACAAGTCTGGTTTTCCTTTTGACATCTCCTCTTCCTCTTTGCCCCATAGAAAGGGATGCCAAAACAGGACAAGCATTCTTGCCCCAATCCTGCCAAGGGGCAGCTGGCAGCTGAGCTGAGTGCATCCCTGGTCTGACAGTCATCAACACGAGATGCAGTTCCTGGCTTATTTACCTACAATCTTCCCCAGGTCTGCAGGTGACCACAGTTTTTCTTATAGCCAATCTCCCTTCTGAAAGCAGTCTGGGTCTTTTTGCCAGGACCTTGTTTGCTTCCTTTCCAAACCGGAGTAAAAGAACAGGCCAAAGATGCTCTGGATGCAGCAAAGGGGGTCAGGCATGTCCACAGCTAAGGGTGCCAGGGCCAGGGACTGGCTGAGGTGGCCAGCAGCATAGAACTAAGTGCCTATCATTCAGAGAGGGCAGGAGTCCAACGGGGTAGCCCAGACACTCTCTCCTCTGCTGGATGACAGATTGCAGAGGGCCACACTGAGGTTAAGATGCCTCTGGGACAAGCGAAGGCTCCCTTATGAAAGGCAGACTGCTCAAGGCATCTTGGACCCAACTTGGTTTCCTGACTCCAGGGGTCCCTCCCAATATGGATTTGGAGGCAGGTCCTTTTCTCTGGGGCCCATCACCCAACCTTTGACCCAGAGCATTTCAGTTCCCTACAGTAAGGAGCAATAGAAAACTTGTCTTTGTTAGAGGCAGAATGTCCCAGAAAGAGTTGGAGGAGTAAATAACTTGTGGAAATGCTCAGTGCTCCCTCCCCACTCAAGTGCTGTTGCTGAGGAGGGTCTGCACCACAACCAGAGGCTAAAACTCTGGCTAAGAGAATACAGCACAGCCAACTAGTTTCAGAGTTTATTTGGTTTCTCCCATTTTAAATTGAACTGGATTCGAAGTTCTCTGTATGATGCACAAATCACAAACATAAAATACAAGGTGCCAGGAAGACAGATCAAAAAAAAAACCAGATGGAATCATCACAGGCACATAAGAACAATTCTAGCAACAAAAGGGAAAAGTGCAAAGAGTTCAGTTTTTTCACTTGAGTGAAAAAGCCTTCTTGGAGGTGCTGAAAAAGCTGGAGTCCTGTCCCCACCCACCTCCCTCTTCTGGCACAGCTCAACTGGGAAACAGGTCTTAAGAGCAATTGTTCTTAAGGCCTTCCAAAGAGCTGTTTGACCTAGGCCAGTGATGGCGAACCTTTTAGAGACTGAGTGCCCAAACTGCAACCCAAAACCCATTTATGCATCATCGAGTGCCGGGTGGGTGTGGCCCATGGGCTGGGCGTGGCCCATTGGGTGGGCGTGGCCACGGTAGTAACGACAGACTGAGTGGGACTAAAAAGTTCAATCAATCAATTCCAACTTTGCAAGATCTTTTTTTTTCCCCGCGAGAAGTTGAAATTGACTGATTGAACCTTTTTTTTTTTTTGCACACGGCAGTAGAGGCCTAAAGTGAAAAGGTTTTATAAAACCCAGCTGAAGGCCTAGGACTGGGGCGACGGTGCGCGTGCCCACAGAGAGGGCTCTGAGTGCCGCCTCTGGCACCCGTGCCATAGGTTCGCCACCACTGACCTAGGCTGATGGCAAACCATTAGCCATTATTACCAGCACTCCCCCAACTACCATCATTTTTTTTTCTTGCTTGGGATTAGCAGCTTGTGCTGGACAAAGACAGACCCAGACATAAACACTGAAATAATTTAAACTGGAGGCCACCAATTCCAACTCAGTTTTAGATTAATCAATTTCAGCTCCCCCCTCACACACACCTTGAAACATAATGACTCAATTGTTAGGGAATGTGCAAGGGGGACTGGGATGCTTTCCCCAAGCAGTTGCCTGGGGAAATTAGTTATGTTGACAATTCTTATCCAATGCCTAGCACTGGATCAGGCCCCAAAGATAGCCTGAGCATGACAGTCAGGTGACCCCTGCCAGAAACTACTTCACCAAGTTGTTGTGAAGACCAGCTAGAAGAAATATTGCACCTGATCCTAAATCTCTGTGACAAAAAGGCTGTGCATTGAAATAGAAATGGCAGGTGACAGTTGCATCATGTGCTACTTATTGGTTTGCAGTACTGAGGGCGAGTGCCAGAGTCTGGAAAGGAAACCCACTGAAGAAGCCCTGTTCCTGGGTAGTACCCAGTCTGCCATGCTGGGGTCAGGTTTAGCAGTCCTCTGGTGGCAGGAAGGATACATGACTCACCGTGAAGCCCCCAGCAGATGCTCCAAAATGGGGAAGGTACCACAATGACGCTTCCAAGGAAGTGCTGGGCCTCCAGTTCTGCACAGGTGCCTAGTCTCTGAAGTTGGGCCCTGGGGGCACCAGGGGGAAGTGCTGCGGTGTGGCATTTGGGGAACTTCTCCATCCGGACTAGAGACCAGGCTTAGTCCTTGGGACTTCGGCCAGGCCAGGCCTCTCCCTGCCAAAGATGAGGAAGGGCTCTTCCCTCCCCCCCCCGCAAGCAACGGTGGCCAGCAGAGTCCCAGTGGCAGCTGCTTCGGCCAGGAAAGACGGTGCCCGAGGCATCCCGAGAGGCGCGGATGGGTGGTCCGGGCTGAGGAGCAGCAGGTCTAGCCGGGCGGAGATCTGAGCGCCTCCTGCTCTCGCCAGGCCGGGCTGTCCGGTGCCGCCGAGGAGCCCGGCGGAAGGAAGGAGAGCAAAGAGAGAAAGCGGCTTTCGCTGAGCCGCATCTGGACGCCTTTTCCGGAAGGGGCCGCTTGGCGACCGGGGGCCTCCGGATGCTCAGTCCGGACGCCAGCCAGCCGCTGCCCGCCTTTCATAAAACGGAGGAAGAAGGGCGCCAAGGCCGGCCTGCCACGAAGAAGGTCGGGGAACTCCCTGCCGGCGTCGCAGCATCC